GATATGGAAGTCCTTTGGTCGAAAGCCGAATGTCAAGTCTACTGCAGAGATGGCGTAAGTTGGTATATGCCTAACGAGCCTTCTGTATCCGTGTTGAGATTTCATCAGCGATCAGTCCGCTGGCTGATGCAACTTCCCAAATAAGTGAAGTGGTCAACAGGCTCCACCAACCACCTCAATCCCTATCTTTAAGCTAGGAGTGGGCCAATATAGTCGAGTCCAGTTCTGTACCATCATCTTACATTTGACAGGAGCGTAGGTTACTGCTCAGCGTGTTCAGAAGACTCTGCATTTTGTCAGCGTCTTCGTCTAGAAGGACTATATCATCTGCATAATCTAAGTCAACGAGATTATTCCCTGGTAACAAGTCAATCTCTGAGTCGCTGAAGTCAGTTAGAGTTAAGTCCACTAATACATCTGTGATGAAATTAAACAGAAATGGTGACAGTGGGCATGCCTGACGGACACTGGTTGTCACTACTTCAGATGACAACTCTCCGTATGTTCTCACCTGGCTGACTGCATGAGTTCGAGTAGGGTGACTCCATCAGTGCAATATATTTTCTCGGCATTGAGGTACATATACACCAAGATTATATGGCCAAATTACATAAGCTTGAAAAATTCGTCCTACCTAAATAGTTGATAACTATTTTAAAATATTTATATGAATAGACAATGAGATAAAGTGTGAAAAATGTGTTTGAATTTCATAAAGAGAATTAAAGCTGTTAGTGTCAAAGAAAACACTATAACACCTTAGAATGTAACATCTCTATTCACAAACGCGTCTCTAATTGGAACGGTTAACAACATACATGAACAAATAGAAATCCTTAAAGAATTAATACTAAAATGCATCATGTGAAGACAGATTTTAAGTTCGATGACGAACTCTGCAGATAAGTGGATGAGGGTGTAGATAACATCCCTACTAGATCTCATGTTACCAGATTTATTATTGCAAAAAGCTAGAAAATAGTCTTTCCAATAATTTTATCTAAATTCACATGTGAATATCAACGAAAGATACTAATGAGATCTATCGAATAAAAAAAATTGCATTGAAAAATACTGCTCCGTTGAAACGTTATAAAGGAAAGTTTGAATTTCCTATAGGTTCCTATAAGATTGCTGTGGCGGCTATGTCCAAAATGGATGATACATTACGTCCTTTGTGAAAATGATTCACACTAAACATGTCAAATCAATAAAGTGCATCCAACTGTCATATTCACATATGAAGACGAATCCCACAACGGAAAAATTGTCTTAAATTTTCTTCTCACAAAAAGACCAGATGACAATGTTAAAAGCAATTTACTTGTAAAAAATACGTGAACAGGACTATACACACATTTTCATAGATTCGTTTCTTCCCAGCACAAAAAAAATTAGTGAGGAGACTTAGGTACACAGTCAGAGCTGAAGAGATGAACTTAAGAATGTATATGACATCCTAATGGAGGAAGGTTATCTGGAAAAGTTAATAATGAATTACAAAGCGAAGAAAGTCAAGAAGAAATGTTCGTTATCCGCAAACAAGAAATCTCTATCTTTCTTTATTATTGATTCCGTTAATTCCTAGAGGAACATAGGGCTTCAGCCACACGTCTCCATTGCGTTTAGTTCTCTGCCAACATTTTGACCTGTCTCCACGTCTGTCCACATGCTTTCATCTCCTCTTCACATGACCCCCTCCATGTCAACCTCGCACTGACGACCAACTCGCCGCTTCCCATTCGGGTTCCACTCGAGCAATGGCCTTGCGTGTGATGTCACTTGATGGTTTGTTTTCTCAGAGTATGGCCAATCCACCTCCATTTCTTTCGGCATATTTTTTGCACAATTGGTTCCTGTTTGGGTCGCTACCAGAGATCCAAAATCCCTATATATGCGACTACATACCAAGTGAAGTAATAACCATCAAGTTAAGAAAACTGAATCAAAATCTCATAATATCATTTAGCAACAGCTGATATTTTCCATACTGCCGGTTGTCATCCCTCAACTGAAAGATGGATTACCTAGGCCAGCCACTTCTTATCATATATGTCACCTCAGCTACTCCTGTGGAACTGTGGTGAGAGCTGTCTACTAGCCAATTGGTTGACAGTAATTGAGGTCAAGGTCAAGATGGACAGGCGGATACAGTTAACATATAGATGAACTGACACAGCCACAAGAGATGCAAAGTTAACTTTGTGTGAGAAACAACCAATCAACAGACTGTATTTTCTACTGACATTAACCTACAATAATGTACATCAAAATCTATAAATACGTGTTGATTTTCCGTAATAAACGTTCTGTTGCCTGGCCCTTGTCTTCTGTTGTTACAGAATTAGTTCATTTTGCCATTTCTCTCAGAACTTAGTTTCTTGTGCTTGGGAAAACTTACCGTTATGGCTAAATAAACGAGTAGTAAGGACCGCCAACCATTTGACATCAGAGCACCTGGTCCGAGCAAGCCATGGAGCAAGCATCCTCTACCGAATAAATTGCCTAAACACGCTAGCTACCGAATACTCTAAGCAGCAGAGAACTTTGCAATTTGGAACTTTGTTTAAAGCAGAAACAGGCCCAAACACCCTATTGCTTCTCTGGCCTGAGGTAGAATCTGTAATTCCATAAGTTCTGCATTACGCTTCTTAATTTATCTGGTGTCCAATTTTAAGTTAGATTTATGCATTTTGCAGCATAAATTTCGAACTGTAATCACCTAATCTTATTTGATTAGATGTTATCAGCGAAAATAATTTAAAAATCCTCATTAAATCACGGAAAAGACATTCAACAAAGAGTTACTTTTTTCACCGATATCATTCTAGGGATGTACAATCGTATATATGTAGTAAATTGTCTTAGCAACCAAAGGAATATTTCCAAAGATTTATCATTAAAACTACAAATTTTAGATAAAATATTACGTAAGACAAAAGTTAATCGGGTAGAAGATAAAGTAAATAAATTGAGTGACGTATTATAACTGTGATGGGATTGAGCAGAATTCAGACTAAATTGAACGAGAGTCAAGTTAACAACAGTGGTAATAAGGAGTGGAAATTTAATAGCGGGTGAGGAAAGAAAATAATAGAATTAATAAACAGGAATTACGTATACGATGTTAAGATAGATCAGGTCCATTGTAGGTTTTATGACTGAACAAACTTCTTCTGTATGCAGAGTCTGGGATTTAACATGTGAACTGCTATTACTTCTGTTGTTTGAAGAAATCTGATTTCGCACTATTGCAGCATGATTCCCGCGTATTCTGTAGATGACTTAAGTTGGTTTGTGGGCCAGCCTGGTGTTCTAGGACAGAGCTGCCGGTGGGGTCTTTTTTCCCGTTTATAAAACCATGAGGGTAAGTGTTCGATGATACGTTTGGATAGCAAAAGTTGAGTGCGGCTGACAAACCCAGCTCCATAGGAGCAGGTGAATTGATAGATATACATTGATGAGGTCAGCAGTGAATAATTAGTTTTGTGGAGAAAGTTAGTCGAAGTACAACTGCGAAGAAGATTTTGATCAATAAGCGGGACAGGCAGATTCTGAGTATTTCTGTCCATTGAATTGTAAATTCAGGTAGAAAAGTCTTTCAGGAGCAGAAACTGTGAGCAGTTTTGATGGTTTAAGCTTCATCGACTTTGTGATGACAAGTTCTGGGTAGTCATTTTTCCAGGGAGAATTATTTTCAAAGTGTTCCGCTCTTACTCCATGTTGTCACGCCTACAAATGTATATATATGCGATTGTGCAGCTTGATAATGATATTACCGTAAAGAATAACTCTTCGCTGAACACCTTCTCTCTTTTATTTAACAATAGTTGTTTAATTCCTATAGATGCATATAACTGTAGAATCTGATGAAGTTATCGAAAATATTTTTTTAAGCACGAATCAGTTATTTCGAATTCTCAGTGGGCATCTTTAATCAGATGACAACTGTTAAGGCAACTCCTCTACCAAAATGAGATGTCAGATTTCATAAATTTCATTGTATTCTATAAGATAAATTATTTTGCTTTCATAGTCGCTACAGGATTCTTTAATATAGGCATAGTTTATTTCCAAGTGATGTTGAGACTGACGCTTTATTTGCTTCCCTGCTAATGGTGGTATATGAGATCGTCAATACTGTTCACTTTAGTCTTAAATTTTAAGTAAATGCAAACTGATTTATGGTCACAAGAGTTAATTATTCAACTATCTTTACTATTTTTCTACACCTGTTGACAGAACAGCTATTTACATTTTATCTTTTGTAAGAATTGTAATCAACACACCGAGGATAGATAGATTTCGTTAATAACTGAAATGAGGTATTTAAAAAAATTTCTGAAAGTCAAGAAGAACTGGACAACTGTTTCGTCCCAATTTACAAACCATCCACAGTGAGTACACTCTTGGCTCCACTCTACAGATCGTATCCAGAGGCTATTTCGGGTTATGAAGTGAGTCTAGTGAATATTTAGCCATTATTTAGGGATTCAATAACGCCTTCATTCTATCTTTGATTAATATGTGGTGAGAGATGGCTGCTAGCCAAATTGGTAGACAGTAATTGACATCAATGTTTATGTCCCCAATATTGGTGGTGAGAAAATGAGAACAAAGGCTTTGCGTAGGCGGATACAGTTAGCATATGGATGATCTGACACAGCCACAAAGAGATGCAAGGTTAATTTTCTGTGAGAAACAACCAATCAGAAGGCTGTATTTTCTACTAACAATAATCTACAATAATGTACATTAAAATCTATAAATATGTGTTGATTTTCCTTAATAAATGATCTGTTGCCTGACTCTTGCCTTCTGTCGTTACAAATACACCACACAGCACTTCTCACACTATCATTTCTTATCACAAAATTCAGGATATTTAGCTGCCAGTAGCCACATTAATAAGCCACAGCATAGCTATGTTGAATAGGAAAATGAATATGTTTAGTGGATAATTCCAATGTATATTAACATTACTTTCTCTGTCTATTATGTATATATATATATATATATATATATATATATATATATATATATATATTGAATTAAGTACTAGACTACTTGAAAAATTCTGAAATGACAACCTAATTATCTATGAAGAAAGAAGGAAAAGAGGGGCAGGGGGAAACAATAAAAGAGGCTCAAAATCTCAGTAATCTACAAACATTCACACACACACAGAGAGTTAAATCAAAAGACAATTTTTATTAGCTAACTACATAACACAACGAAGTATAGAGAAAGAAAGAAAGGAAGAAGGGAAGTATAAATTTAATTTTTGGAAATGAAGGTGCTGAGGAGGAAAAAAATGCTGTTAAAGTAGGCAGGAAACTACAAAAGTCGCTGATTGTTTGACCGTTAGGCGTGTGTGTGTGTGTGCGAACAACAGGTTGACGGATGGACAGCACAGACACACACGCATGTACGTCTTCTCGACAAGGATATGCATATTCGTGTAATGTATATTTTTTATGCTCATATTCACACGTTTATTTATGACCACTTAATTCCCGCATTCTATTCAAAGCACTACCAGCCTTGAACCATTCCAGTTGATTTTCATTAAAGGTATGCATTAATTGTATCTCTTCGCTTTGACCATTTTCATGATGAAGGACACAACGAACAGGCTAGAAAACAAGAGATAAAAGATAAAACAAAATAGAAAACGGAAACAAAAGCTGGTTGAACAAAAATAAACCGACATACATTAAAGTTTACAAGAGTTGATTAATAAGGATTAGATTTTCAAGTATTGGTTTTGTAGGGATTTTTGTTTGATTGGTCGGAGGATTTCATCATGCGAAGTGACCGCGCTATGTCATCAATTGGCAGAAGTTGGAATTTATACATTTACTGGCCACTGGGTCCGGTCCCAGTGGCTTATTGGACTACGAGCTAGCTCGCCTTGTAACCAGAAGGTCCTGGGTTCAAACCCTGGTGGTGGGTGCGCACTACCGATGATTCCCAAACTAGGATGAAACAGCTGTCCAGTACTCCCTGGTTTTCCAATGGTTCTCCAACTGATGCCAGTTCCTGATGAAATCCCTCCAAACAAGGATAAGATTTATTTTTCGAGTTTGACCACGGATGGACATCAGTTAGAGAACCATTGGAAACCAGGACAGGAATACTGGACAGCTGTTCCGCGAACTAGTTTGGGACTCATTAGCAGTATGCACCCACCACCAAAGTTCTAACCCAGGACCCTCTGGTTACAAGGTGAGCTCGTACACCATTCAGCAACTGGGACCCGATTCAATGGCCAAAACTAGGATGAACCAGCTATCCAGTACTTCCTGGTTTTTAAGGGCTCTGTAACTGACATATTTAAGTGATATTTACGAGTAATTAAATAATCCTTTGAGTTATTTATTTGGTTAGTGATGGCTATCACTGTAGAATCCATAATGTGTTTCGTTTTGTGTGGCATTCGTCAGCTAGATGTACTTTTATCTCCATAGAGGGACCGTGTTCACGCTGAGAAATGCACAATCTGAATCCTACTGCTACACGCCATCAACCGTAATAACATGTTAAAATTCAGTCGTTGTCGAAGCATCCGTCGCTATCAACAGTTGTCCAAATACACTTCAGTACAATTCAAACCAATTAAAGTGAAATACACAATAAGTTAAACAGATAATCTATTGAGCATTTACTAGCTTACAAACAGGCCCATTTCGAATCAATTCAATTCAACATAAGACAGAAGAATACGGTTATATGGTTAAATAAAACAGTTTTTTTAAGTGAGACAGTAGCGGTAGCAATGAATAAGAAAAGGAAAAAAATTTAACGTTCTGGAAGATACGAGCTCACATAGAGTAATTGTAAATTATTAACCATGGCAAATTTATCTGCCATCTGAAAAAAAACTGAATCAGGGGGGAAGGATATAGAAGAGAAAGATAGAAAAAATCATCTTGACTCGAAAATATATACACATCATTTCTGGCTAACTAAATTCAGATCAGATACTGTGTCAGAATTGTTCACTAATCTGTGATCAATTTTGTATCCCTTTTTAAACATGATATTTCTTCCCATTGTTCAGTGGATGAAATGGGTGAAATAACCGTATTAAGTTTCAGAAACTTGGTACGACAGGTATTTTCATTCCATATCTCGTGTTACCTGGCATAATAAGGTCAGTGATATTGAGGCTGTGTAGCTATGATGGAGAAGATATGTAGCTCAGGTGTATGATTTTGATGTAGTTGTGTTCTCTGAGCTGAATAGTGGTTTATTTGCGAGTGTTCCATTGCCCCACCATTAGGTCAATCTCTTGAGCGCATACTTTAATTTGAAGAGAGCTTTTGGATTTCTCCACGAGTTTATTAGTTATCTCTCCTGGTGCCTATGAATGTGATTGGTTGTTTTTATGTGTTTTCACACCAGCTAGTCTACTTGTATTGGAACTGATTGTTTCCTTAACTTGAACTTTGACCCTTTGTGTGTGAGAATTCCTTCTTATCTATTGATAAATTTTGTCTATGTCGATGTGTCTATTGATTGACGATTCACTGGAATACCAGGCTTTTAGAAATTCTCTAGCATTCTTGGTGTTTCCTCTGTCTAATATTTGAACGTTGTCCTAGTCGAATTGATGTCCGTGGTTGTCTGTATGCAGTTAAGCGATATGAGGGAGTGGATGTCGTGTCTTTTGACGGCTAGTTTATGATCATGGATACGAAGATGAAGGGGACGTCCACTTTGGCCAATGTAGGGTTTTTCGCAGTCGCTGTAACTTAGACGTCAAAAGACACGACATCCACTCCCTCATATCGCTTAACTGCATACAGACAACCACGGACATCAATTCGACTAGGACAACGTTCAAATATTAGACAGAGGAAACACCAAGAATGCTAGAGAATTTCTAAAAGCCTGGTATTCCAGTGAATCGTCAATCAATAGACACATCGACATAGACAAAATTTATCAATAGATAAGAAGGAATTCTCACACACAAAGGGTCAAAGTTCAAGTTAAGGAAACAATCAGTTCCAATACAAGTAGACTAGCTGGTGTGAAAACACATAAAACAACCAATCACATTCAAAGGCACCAGGAGAGATAACCAATAAACTCGTGGAGAAATCCAAAAGCTCTCTTCAAATTAAAGTATGCGCTGAAGAGATTGACCTAATGGTGGGGCAATGGAACACTCGCAAATAAACCACTAATCAGCTCAGATAACATAACTATATGAAAAACGCTGTGCATGGTTACGTAAGAAGGGGAAAGTCAATGGATTTAAATGGTCAGCTGTTTACGTGTTATTCGTAATATACCATCACTTTCCTCGTCGTTCTACGTTGGGTTGATTTAAGTGTCAACGATAGTCAAGCGAAAAAATGGCGTCAACAATTCATGAACTCGTATGGAGACTGATTTGAGCCACATATTAAGGTGACTGAGGGTTTTACAGACGATAAAAAAATTAGTAGCTGGAGACTATCGATGATACATATTCACTCATTGTAACTAATCTCTTAGATCTATTTAAACCTTCATTAATCTTCATGAAATTATTCCATATCTTGTACATAATTGTTGTTGTTCATTACAGTTCCTTTGAAATTTCCTTTCTTTTTCTCTCTACTTTTATAACGTATAACAACAATTTGAACTGTCACACTTTAGTGCAACAACTTTCTACCCCCAGATCAGTACCATTTTCGTATTATTCTCCCTTTTAAATGTTCCTTTTTTTGAATTTGAAGTGTGGCATGCAATGATTTGTAGTTATCTGCGTTAAATTTTAGTTAGTCGGTTTTCGATTACAGGGCAGGTGTACTGTTCACCAGCAGTTCACTCTGTCCTCCTTTATGGCTGGCTGTGAGACATGGCTCCCGTCGAAAGTGGAAGACATAAAAAGACCTGGCTAACTAGCTGTCTTTGATCATAAGTGTCTGCCTTCTATCTCTCGCGTTAGGTAGCGCGTGGTATTATAATATGAGCAACATTGAGGTTAGCGTCGGTCGAGTGCTAGGTGAGTTGGAGGAGAAATCAATCGACGAGGTTGTGAAAATACACAGGTTGAGAGCGATGGTTGGGACATGTGTTACGCATGCCTAGTCTAGCCTGGCCATCGATCGCCTTCCTCGACAACAGTCAATGTTAGAGGCTGACATAAGATGGATCAGGTTGGAAAAGAGTTGGCTAGTGGTGGTGGTGGTCAAACCAAGACATGGCTTCATCACCAGTCAATGAAATAAATCCACAACGGTTAGTTTAAGCCAGCCAGCCACGCATGGAGGTCCAGACATCCTGACCGGCAGGTTGGGGTCATCGGGATGGTAAGAACTAATGACGGCGGTTGGAGACAGTTGGTGATATGGCTCAAAATCGTCGTTGTCAATGTCTGGCGTAGATGCATCCACTTCTTGTGTTTTATAATATTTCAATCAGTCTTGTTTAGCTCGATGGTAAGATGATAAAGGGGACGACTAGGAAAATATATAAGAATTTCAAGGCTTAAAAAAATTAGATTTCAAAGCAAAACGAATAAAATAACTTACTTTGCCCGGTTGAAGATTTTTTAAGTCTATGAGGGAAATTTTATCCGATGGTTTAATTTTATTGTAATCAGATGGATTGGCAAAAGTCAGGGGAAGCAGACCTTGCTTCTTCAGATTTGTTTCTATGATATGTTAATTGGGAAAGAGAACAAAAAAACAAGATGCTTTCGAACAACAGATATGTAATCTTAAATAACAAAAGTTTCTGCCAAAAATTAGCCTTCAAGATAGAAACCTTACTGCGTCCTAATGACTCGTCGGATAACTACCAAGTAAAAACTAATTGTCCAACAAAAATATTAGCCTTCAAGATCATAAAGTTGCTAAACACCCGGGAAAGCAGCAAGATCAGAAAGAATCATCACAGAAGCAGTGAAGACGAACCCAGAGACCTCAGTGAATATGTTCACGCCAATATTTCAGAAAATACAGAGGGAAAGAAAGCCAAATTTTTCAAGCTATTAAATAAAGCAACTTACGTCTATGCTCCCGTCAGCATCAAGCGAAAAACTATGTGGCATTATCGTAGAAACATACTTCAGATGAAGACTTTGCCTAAAGTATACTGGATTCATGAGAAGCAAATCTTGAGCCGGTCAACTTACAGTACTGTGAATAATCACCATAATCGAGCAGGGGCCTAGAATGATAGTCACCTCAACTTCATCGACTTGTAAAAGCCTTCGATAATGTCGACCACGAATTTTTGGAAATTGTTTCAGCAGTACGGAATGAAACAGACATTTAGAAATTTCATTCAACATTTATATGATCATACCCACATGTTAAATAATTAACAGCGGAGAGTTCACTCAAGCGTTTGAAGTGAGGTTTTTAAAATGATTCACAGTTGTTTAAAAGAAGTGGACAATTTGTCCAGCCCCCCCCCCTTCCACCGTAATTAATATTACAAGAGTGTTTGCAAGCAATAATGATTCAGATTTAAAAAAATATTAACCTACTAATGAGCATTTAATTGTTAGTGGATAGCAGTAGAATTCAAAACATGCGTTTCGTCCGACTCGGAACTCGTCATATGGATGTAGTTCCATCCACAATGAGTGATGGAGCCCCATTGAAGATTCAAAGCCAGCATACATATTTTCAAATACACACTCATATTCACTATTGACCGGTAAACCAGACACCTCTTGGACAAATGGTATCTGCTGTTATCTGTTGGAATTATTATTTTGAATTACCAGTTGATTAATTTATATTTGACCGTTGGAACAATATCACTCACTGAGAATACGGGCAATTATAGGTAACGAGACCGAGAGTGAAATAAACGGACACACTGGATTCTAATGGTAGTCATTATCAATTAAATGACACACTGCTAACATCCAGGCATCATCGAAATTTCCGTACTAGGGGTTGATATAGTGTCAATAGGAAATAAAAACACATGTCGATGAAATAAGATAGAAAAACAGCGAGAAATTCAAAATAATAATTTCAACAAACTACTACTACTGATTAGTAGTTTGTGTATTTCTTCAGATAAACATTTTAAATTTCAGTTGCTGGCTAGGAGTTAACAGAATAAGGCACGTTGATATAAATGAACGCACAACACAGTCTAGAACTGCAAAGCTTCATTGTCACTACTTTGAAGAAACCTATAGACTAAGCGATTAATGAACAAAAACGATATATTAAGAAAACTTTTATGAGTTCACAACTTAAAGCAGAGGACCCAACAACCCCGTGCATTTCCCTAAAGAGGTGGCATTAATCTACACCTACTATGTGAGGGTTGATGATACAAGTTAACTGCCCTGATCTAGGTACGAAGGCACAAGATTTGAACCCACCATCCGGTAAGTTGGATGTCGATAGCTTAGATCAATAAAGCTACCATAAACGGATTATAGACTCAATGTTACATCTACTTGGCTGTAAATGGCTTCACTCTTCTTTGAGATGAGTAGTTCTCACTTTAATTGCTAAATGTATTCTACTTTTTTGGCACGAAATCATCATATTTTCAGTGGGTAATACAAATATCTGCTAAACACAGTGAAAGAAACAGAGAAATCACGAATGTTATCTGGTTAGTGGTGGCCGGCACTGTGCGGACACTTCATACTTATGGGGACTTATCAACTAGATTTGCTTACATCCTAAATGAGGAGGCATAAGATTCCTACTGGGATTTGAACCCAATACCTATCGTCTCCGTTGCTAGCTATCATCAATTAGGTAACATCAAGTTAATCTTGAGGCATCATCAAATCACCCATACTAGCATCCGTCACACGTTAACAGAGACAGAGCTTTGCGGTCTAATAAAAGTTGAAGCATGCAATCAACGAAACAACTTCATATTGTCGATATGTCGGTGACACATTTGTAGTGCGTACCAATGCAAATTATGCTTCCTACTTGGCGAGATTATTCAACGAAGCACGTACAAATATTGAATTTATTGTGGAACATGAAAATGATGGAAAGTCCCATTTCCTCAACGTTGCCTATGTCGCAGCCAAGTTGGTTCCCCTCTATCGAACAACTTGCTAATTGGTGTAATCAAAATCGATAGATATCCTTCTCACATTAACTCCAACTGTAAATACAAATTTGTATATATCTACGGGTGCAGTTACATTAGAAGAACAGAAAGAAGTACATACCTACGATTTCCTGAACTTGTACCAAAAAGGCTATTTCTAAAAGGAACAAATTACTTTAAACCGTGCCATCGCTAGGCATCTCCTTGACACGGGTCATGAGGTGGACGTCGCAAAATCGTTCAAAACTATCAACAGACAAAAGAGTTTAATTCTGCTTAAGTTTGCCACGGCGATCTCCGTCAAGCGCCTGAAACCCGATTTATACGTTCAGAAAGAAGCGGTGATTATCAGTCCTTCCTTGCCCTGGTAATTGGATATTTTCACCATCTCCTTCACCTGATTACGTGACGCGGAAAGATTCCATTGTGTATGATTATTATTGTTTGGGACAAAGTGGTAACTATTAGTATTAGCAATGTATGCACATACTGATTTTTAGTTTAAAAATGAACTCTGTGTAAGCCTGTTAAAATTATTGCTGTAGATAGACTTAATAATGTCTTTGGGCTGTAAGCAGCTGATGAGAAGCCAACGAAATAAACAAAGGATAGTACCACGGTATATAGCAAAAACTATTGTTGTTCTTGCTTTATTCCAAAACTAATAAAATCAGCCAACGGAAAACACAGAGTAACTTAAATCAACATTTAGAATGCAATTCAAGCTCGCTCATGTATAAATCGACAGATAGAAAACTGGATTTATTCAAGTCAAACGGGTTGTAAACTAGCACAATCGGTACTAGCTAAATAATATTAAGCACGATGTACCAACATATTTCACTGTTATGGACTCTTATGGGGTATTTGATGCTCCCGCTCAAATATAATTAATGCATTTGAAGCTTTTCCTTTAATCAATTAGTTAGTACAGAAAACAACGCAAAATATACTTTTTACAATGATAGAAATTTTTAAAACGAGTAGCACCAGAGTCAAGCACAATCATGACCCAACTCCAACGATTTTCTAATAAAAAAAAGAAGAGAACTATATTCAATGGGAAAGGAAATTGATTCAATGTAGTAAGCGGAAACGAAATCCAATTCGCAATATTTGTAATTTACACAGTTCGAGGTAGAAATTCATGAAGGCCAACTATGGAAATCAAAATGATTCATTTAACAATGATGTGGTCTGGTCAATACTTCTCAATAATTGGCAATGAACAAAGCGAGAGTAAATGCATGGTGGCATATATTTACTGATTGGTATTATTATTATTGTTTCCGTTAATTCCTAGAGGAACGTAGGGCTTCAGCCACACGTCTCCATTGCGTTTGGTTCTCTGCCAACGTTTTGACCTGTCTCCACGTCTGTCCACATGCTTTCATCTCCTCTTCACATGACCCCCTCCATGTCAACCTCGCACTGACGACCAACTCGCCGCTTCCCATTCGGGTTCCACTCGAGCAATGGCTTGTCTAGTGATGTCACTTGATGGTTTGTTTTCTCAGAGTATGGCCAATCCACCTCCATTTCTTCCTGAAAATTTGTTGCACAATTGGTTCCTGCTGGGTTGGTTCGTTCCCAGAGATCGCTGTCACTGATCTATTCTGGCCAGCCATCTGATCTTGAGTAGCATTGAGCGAAGACAGCTGTTGATGAAGGTCTGTAGTTTGTTCGAAGTGCCCTTCATGACGCGCCAAGTCTCATCCATATAGAAATTACCACTGACTGACTTCACATTAGAGTTGAGAATCCGGATCTTATTTTTCATGCTGAGTAGTGCTGTTGATCTCCACACAGACTTGAGAGTAATGAAAGCTCGCCTTGCTTTCCCGATCGTCACTTTCATACCCTTATCAGTTCCGTCCGCCTGTAGTCGAAACGATGCTTCGAAGGTAGGTAGAGGAGGTTGCTTCTTTCAAATTTCTCGCATTTATGCTGATTCTTATCTGTTGTTGTTGCTGTTGGCCAGGAATCTTCATCACCTCTGTTTTCTCTATGTTCACCTGAGTACCTATCTTTGATTCTTGTTGATTCTGACAACTTGTTGCTTTTCGCTTGCATATCTTCCTGTTTATGGGAAATCAGACATAAATCATCGGCGAAGTCCAGATCCTCCAAGTTTTTGTGTGGGCCCCTTTTATGCCTGTCTCCTCTTTTCCCACTCTCTGTTACATTATCCAGTCTACAGTAATCAGGAAAATCATTGAAGATGGGCAGTCTTGTCTTACTCCCGTCTTCACTTCGAAGGAGTTTTTTACGTTGTGGAAGTCAGATAATAATGCTTATTAAGCAGATCGAAGCTATATAAATACCGCACGGACGTTTCTGTCATTTGGGGTTGAGCTCATTGATGGGTGGTGTGTCGAATCAGGCTTCAAACGAGCAAAACGGCAAGCATTGCTTGTTGAAGTGAGTAGTTTTCATTTACCCCTATAAATCAAACAATCAATCAATCAATTAATCAACCAATCAATCAGTTGTATATACCACCATGTAATGAAAACTATATCACCTTCTACAAGGAAGCAAAGTCAACTAACTAACTTACCATGTATACGTGCAAAACTTTTCACAATAATCGCTCGTCCTCCTAAATGTCTAGGCTCTAAAGCAGCATGCTCTCGACTACTTCCTTCACCATAATTCTCATCACCGACAACACACCAGCTTACACCTTCAGCTTTATACTTTCTAGCTACCGCTGGAACTGTATCCCATTTACCAGATTCACGATGTAATATTTTATTAACTTCACCATTCTCTTCATTAACAGCACTAGAACAGTCGGAATACAAAAAAATATCAACAACATTAAATATAGTATCACAATTGCGTGTGATTATTCAAACTGTCAGATGATTTTCAAATGAATTTAGTGTATTCTGAAAATTTTAGTGAGTTGTGGATAATAAGTACAGTCCCAGTCCCAGAAAATGAAAGAATGCAGTGTGTAAGGTGTTAGGTGAATCCTTACCCAGAACGGATCTCTAACTAACCGATGACCCCTACATTTATTGTCTGAGGGTTGAATACTACATGGATGCTCAGGATGAAAGAGGTAAATAGATTAGACAAATGGCTTGTGTACACACATAAGGCTTATTCAATGTATTTACATTTAACTTCTCAAATCAGTGAAAATTTCTATAATATTATTTAATCTATAAACTACTTCCACCGGTTTCAAACCCCGGTGGGTGTGTACTGCTGGAGAGTCCCAAACTAGGCTAACGAAACGGCTGTTCAGTACTCCCATGTTTTCCAATGGTTCTCTAACTGATGTCAGCTCATGATGAAACCCTCCAACCAATCACACTACGTTAAAAATTTAAAAACAGCCTGGTGTTTAATGCTGGGATTCAGAATAATAATTCACTTCTACACAAAAGTAGAAAGTGAATAGTGATGTACCATTGAGATGACTATCGGAAAACAATACTGGATTTGGGTTCGTCCTTAGTGTGGTGTTATAACACTATAATAGACAACTGACTACTGATTACCCGGATATTATTTCTATACTGTGAAAGACACAGAAAACTGAGTTGAGAACGTAAAAATTTATTGCTCCGAAGGAAAAACAATGTAATTAGATATTACAGCTAATTATGTATTTCACATGACTAATAAATTAATCATCTGCGGTATAAAACACATTTTCACTGGATAGCATAGATCAATGGAAATCCAATGGTGATGCAACGCTTAATCTACACACATAAGGGTAGAATATCTGATTTGAACAGATTATGTTGGAAAATATTGACTCATAATATATCTACTCGTATTGTAAAACCCAGTAGACTGTGAACAATACGAACTTATTGTATTGACGAAAGCTACTCAACTGCTAATGACAGCAGAGAATACCTCGATACCATAATATGCGAGGAGGCAGACTGTAGCAGACACCAGCCAAAACACGATTATGGATAAAATTTCATTTTGATAAAATCACAGTGTAGTATGACACAGTTATGTTTACTAATGACCACGTTCCAAGCACAATTCATTACTGCTCGTAATCATATGAAGATACTCAAACAACTTTCTTGCTTCGTTTATTTATATTACATTAGTAAAGATGGATTAGACCTTTAAATAAAATCAGTATAAAACTTGCGTGAAACAGAATGGAAAATAAAGCACATTCGGAAATAATAATATTAGTGTTATCAATGAAATACAATAGGATGGGAAATAATTCACTCAGACACAGGCACTGTGTAGGCTAAAGGATCCGGTGGACCCAGTTAGAAAAAATATAATTTACAAAATACCTTGCAATGAATGTGAGTTAGGTCAACTACATGGGTCAAACTAGTGGATCAGGAGTAGTGAGATTAGAATGATTGATTCCATGAAGGTAAGTAATTTAGAAAAAAACTCAGCAATCGCACTGCATGCACTAGCACACCACCACACAATATAGTGGTACAGAGTCCAAATTCTAAAAAGTAATGTAGGTAGGTGGAGAGAGAAATTAATTAGCGAGCCCTGGTTCATCACGTCTACACCCAACACACGCAATAGAAGTGACTCGGAACGTGGTCATTAGTAAATATAACTGTGTAATACTACAATGTGATTTTATCAAAATAAAATTTTATCCATAATGGAGTTATACTCTACCGCTGTGCCCAAGTTTTATCCTTATGTCAACAGTTAAAAACACTTGACTAGATTCCAAATGATCTTGAAAAACACTATATTTATTTGCAAGAGATAGCCGAAAAATGAGCTCCTGGGCTTGACATTGAATGATATAAAGGGCACAATAACTCAGGAAGCGAAAGTTATTTTAAGGTTATAGATAATTTTTTAAAATTAAGTTAAATATATTCTTACCCAATAAATAAATTATTTGAAATATTATCTAAATGACCACGATATTTTAACCATTGGCCAGCTGCTGATATATGATCTGTTGTACATTTGCCTTTAATTTTAATTAATATTGGCATATTGACCAAGTCTTTACCATCCCATTTATTAAATGGAGTTAACAGCTGTAAACGTTGACTTGACGGGTCGACTTTCACAGCAATCTTTGAAGTATCCTCTGGTGGAGGTTGATAGGTGTCTTTGCCAGCATCAAAACCTTTCTTAGGCAATGTATCGCCTATATGTGCACATGTATATATGTGTGTGGGCATAGATTGAAAGAGAAAACCAAAAAAAGAATTAATTAAAACAATAGATGATTACTATTTTCATTTGAAGATGAAAATAACTTGATTATTATTTCGATAAACAGAGACTACTATAGCAGTGAAGTTTAGGATGTGCATGTTAACATAGACTGAGCACTTCTATTCTACATTGACAATCCATGGGAAATGTGAATGAACTCAAAAAATCATAATAATAACCGATACCCGTTACAAAATACTTGTTCCATGTGGCAGCCTAGAGGATAGGGCTTTGGTATTTGAACTGATGGGTGTTGGCTTCCAGTTCTAGCGGGAACACCATCACTCACCGGGGAATGCAGATACATTCAGATGACGAGTCCAAAACAGGACGGAAAGTGTGTTATGAATTATATATGTCCAAACCAAGTTCCCTTTTAACAGTTTGAAAAAATTTGGTCATTGGGTATATGATATTCACTAAAATGAAGGTTTTTTGTATTTCCCAATGGATGAAAAACAAAATGATATTGTTTTTACTGATGTTCCGTTATTTAATGCTGCTGCTAATAGCTTTATCAGTGTAGTATGATTAAACCAGAACAACTTAGTCATCCCTTATCAGCATGGAGTAATTTTTACGTTGTGAAAGTGGTCACTTGGTAAAGATAACAAAACCAAGAGAAGACTGCTGGATTTTATAAGTGTATAACATAATAAAAGCAGTGTGTGTTTACATAACGAAGTTGTTTATCACATTCGTGTTGATTTTGTCACTTCATGGGGGAGGAGGGTGTTACAACCAGGTCAAATTCTGTTTTAGTTCATCATTCCTATTCATTTCAGACAATTTGGATTCCATTTGATACGAAGTGCTTCTGATATTATACGTTCTTTGTGATATCTGAAAATTTTATGGATGATTTCAATGTTGTCAAAATCAATTTTGTGACCTGATTCTATAGCGTTTAGACGAGCTATGGCTGATGATTTTTTAAGCTCTTCTATTTCAACTGGATTTCTCGGTGGTCGAACAGATACTCTACAGTGTTCATTTCTTCTGATTTTGAATTCTCGCGATGTTTGTCTGACGTATATCGCATCACATTCCAAGCATTTCATATTATAGACACAATTAGATAGAGAATCTTTAAGGATTTGGTCTTTTATATGGACAAGGTTGTTTCGCAGTGTGTTTGATGTTTTGAAGAAAACTGATGCCGTACTTATTGACTACTCTGCTGATATCGTCTGACGCCTCTGCTCTATATGGAATGACAACTGTTGAGGTCCATGTTATCGGAATACGTTTTCGACCATACGTAATGTCAGTGTTGATTTTGTTGATGAAGTTCTTTGGGTAGTTATTTTGCTTGAGACATTTCTTCTTTTTTTTCTTTCTCATCCGTTAACATGAAAGAGTGTGCTCCTCTAAGAAGACTTGAAACAACTGATACCTTTGCGCTGATGAGGTGGGATGATCCGAAGTCTAAATATTTTTTGGAGTGGTTTTTCTTCCTGAATATAGATACACTAAAATGTCCGTTTTCCCTACTCTTAACTAGACAGGCAGTCTAGAAATGGTAGTTCATCGACGTCTGATTCTACTTCCGAAGTAAACTGGATTCTGGCAGATATATTGTTTAGTTTCTCCAGGAATGAACTGTGTAGATCTCGTTTTAGCACTAAAAAAGTATCATCTACGTACCTTAATCATATTTAAGGAGTGAGTATGCTTGAAAAGATGTTATCTTGGAATCTATTCATGAAAAGATCAGCGACTATTGGGGAAACTGGTGCTGAATTACAATGCTAGGCACTATCAACCAAAATAACATCATTTAATTCAATTTAGAGGTACCTCTTATGTCCTAAGCGGTCTAATGGATAACACTTTGGTCTTTGAAACTATGGGCACTGGGTTCGAGCCTCGGTGGGAACACCATCACTCATTGAGGAGTACAGGTACAACCAATTGACGAGTCCCGTATGGGATGAAGTGCGCATCATAGATTCCACTGCTAGTTCCCATCCACCAATTGACCTTAAGTTAGTTCTAATGTTGAACACATTTGTATTTTCATGATTTGATGCTAGTTATTATTATATATGACCTATTTTACTAGATATGTTATTTTCTTTACTCGTGTTTAACTTGGACTAAAATCAAACTTCAGTAAGTAAAATAATTTCTTATTCATTGAAAGGATTAAGTGTTCTTAAGAGGTTTGATAAAAAAACACGAAGACAGATAACAGATTAACAAATAAAGCTGAAGCATGAGTATTAAACGCTGGTCAGTGTGTTAACAAGATTAACTTTAATCGGTCATCTCATGTAGATAAATAGGACAATCAATACAAACAATCGAGAAATCCCAGAATTCCATATCAAGTACATATCAACATCACTATTGATCAGATTTTGATAGACATTTTTCAGTCTATTTACTTACTTCCTTTTTTGCTCATAAAACATTTACAGTGCAGTGTAAACTGTGTGATTACCGCGATATCAGAAGTGGCTGAATGCAAAGCTCTAGTTCCTCGTTATCTTAATAGCTAGAACATCGACAATGCAAAAGAGGTAAAAGTGTATTGCTTTGTGGACATCACTTTTCACTTAGTCTGTCTGTTTTTGACATTGAACTTTGCACCGATATGCAGCAGTTCAAGTCGCCACACTTCACTCAGCACACAAAGCAAGAGAAGAAATGCATAATAGAGACAGTAGATAGGGATATGAGACAAAAGGAATAGTAATATCAAAGAACATTACAGTTTCATTCGAAATTACAAGTCACAGGGAGTGGATACATCTGCGCCGGCCATTGAGAACGATTTCGAGTCATATCACCGATTATCTCCAGACATTGGTTTTTACCATCCCGAGGACCCCAACCAGTCAGGAAGTCTACACCTTCCTACGTGGCTTAAACTAACTGTTGTGGATTTCATTGACTGGTGCCATGTTTTGGTATGACCGTCGCTAGCTCTTTTCCAACCTGACCCAATGTCAGCTAACATTGCCCAACCGATAGCTGCTACCTTGAATTGGTGGTCGGACTTGCACATCGCAATGACCCAACAAGCTACACTGGTTGGAACTAGTGTTCCTGCAGGTCCTAACATGCCAGGAAGATTGTTAGGATAGAGATTAGACTAAAAGCAGTTACCGGTACAGTGTAAGAATTTTATATTTTACACTATGCTGGGATTCTGTGAGCGAAGTCGTACTCCTGAAGAGTAGGGATGTAACAGCAGTAAGGTGTTTCCCTCAGATGCCCAGCATGCCAGCTATGCTATCTCTCCACTCTGGAGAGAGGGGGTTAGGAAAGGTCGACCCTAAAAATTGTACATTCTGATTTACCCTACGGTGGTCCGTAACCGGCGGTCAGTTTACTAATACGGAACTATTCCAAGAAGCCAGTTCATACAGACCGTGTGTGACCGGCCTCAAGCAGTTGTCCCCTGGGCTCTGCGGTCACGCAACACTAACCGTCTCTCTGTTTCAGGTACCCGAACAATCAACCAACTTCCACGTTGTGGGTAGCCGGGGAGTAACAACAGCCCATACACTTCTAAGAGCACACGAAGCCTCCCCGAGCATCATTCTCCTTTACTTTTCACTTAGTAGATCACTTTAGGGAAATTCGTTGAGATAGAGTGACCAATGTCAATCAGGTGTTCCCATTATTTCACTCCCTATGAAGCCACTGTTGCTTTCCTGCAACATAACAGTATGGGATAGTGTTTTTAAGCTCTTTTAGACAGGATACTCATCGTAAGACCAATATTTCTGATTCCACACAGACAGTAGCAGGTGAACTAACTGATATGTAAACACAGCAGTGGTCAGATGCCAGAATTTGTCTTTCAGGCTTCTACAGATCAGCGAGTGACTGGAAAATACTACTATTAGCATTGCCGCAAAGAATGTTCTCAAAGATGTTGGAATTCGTCTCTTAGGGATATCATAAGTAAGAGTTATCTTGAAATCATCAAGCTTCACGTTAAGCTACTGTGTTTCACCCCAAACACATCGCATTTCACTGAATTGTATATGAATGTGATTGTATAGCTAAAGAAAAAGAAATCATAAAACTACTAAGTTTATATTTTTGCCTCCTGTCGATTGCCACCAACCATCTAATAACAACGATTCAAAGTGAGCCATGATGACAGACCAGCACCTAGGATGGTGGCTACATGGCATACTTTGACTGATAGAATTCAGTCAGCACCAAACCAAGGACTAGACGCACAACACTAGTTACTACCTAGTGCCCAATCGAAGTATCCATGACAGTTATACAGGAGGTCAATCATGAACCTAAATAGTTTAGTGGTAAAGTTTCTGACTGCAATAATGGGTGCCACGGATTAGAATCTCAGAAGGAACGTGATTCGCCCCAAGACTGAGGATACGTCTTGCTGACAAGTGCCAACTAGCACGAAACCAAGGTAAAAGGTTTCCTATCGATTGCCTCCACACCACATCTATCTAGTAACAATAAATAAAACTCAGTTAACGTGATTTAACTGTCACCCACTATACATGTATGCTTATTGTGTAAATATACATATCAAGCAGGAAAGAGAAAAAATGAAGCAGTACTAACTTACCTGTTGGTGGTTTCAATTTAAATTTTGAACCGTCAGCTGCAACTAATTCATCCTTTAATGGATTAAAGGTTAAACTCCCGCCAAGAGCTAAAGCTGTAACTATCTCGGGTGAGGTAACAAAAGCATGCGTAGCTGGATTAGCATCATTACGACCAGTGAAATTACGATTATATGATGAGACAATTGTATTTTTATCACCTTTCTTTGTATCCTATAATTCATTCAATACAACAGTAGTGTGATAAATAGGATAGATAAAGTAAAATGAGAAAAATGCACAGTACTAATAATGGTTTTTAATGAATGACTTGTTACCAGCAAATAGGCGAATTGCTGACTTAACCGTTCGATTTCCGCTCAGTCAGTCATGAATCTGAAACCCGCTCTATCACTTCTTCAACCTCTAGAACAACTAATGGGTAATACCATCAGTCTGCATCATCATCAGTGTAGCTATAACCCTCGTGTATATGGAAACATCTATCCTCAGTAACACAGTTCAGACGACTTATTCCTAACTGTGATGAACTGAATTATGAGGAAGACTGTGTTGGGAGCAAGAAGGCAGGAGTACGTCGGACCAATAAGACGACTCTAGATCTGGATTTCGCAGATGATTTGCCTAATGTCAGTCAAACAAACTCGAAGACTTGCAGGCGAAAGCCAAAAAGCTGGCAGAAGAAGCAGGAAAGACAGGACTTCAAGTAAACATAGAGAAGATGGAAGTGATGAAAATCACCAACCGACAAAAACAAGAAGCACCAATCACTATCAATGGAATAAATATGAAAGCGGTTGCTTCCTTCATTCACCTAGGCAGTATCGTTTTAACTACAGGCGGAGCAGATGAGAGCATCAAAACCAGAATTGGAAAAGCAAGACAGACCTGCATCACTTTGAAATCAGTTTGGAAATCTTTTACACTCAGTGTTAAGTCAGTCACTTCCTCTGTAAGGGTAAGAAACTTGCACTGCGCGTGAGTTACGAAAGGCATTTCCAGAAAGTTACAGACATTTATCAACTGCTTCCACTTCGCTCCATATTGACGATCAAATGGCCGGCAGGCCAGAAAGAATTAGCAACAAGAAACTCTAGGAACAAACCAATCAACAGCCTACTGCTCAACAAATATAACGAAGAAAATGGAGATTGATGGACACACGCTGAGATCATCGAATGACATCGCGCATCAGACATACCCTCGAGTGGAGCCCTGATTGGAAAAGACGAGTGTGGCGCCTGAGGGTGACATGGAGGAGATGACAGAATATGTGCAATCGTAGGGTCGGCCAGCTAAAGAGAATCGAAGAGAACAGGACGAACTGGAGATGAGCTGTTGAAGCCCTATGTTCCACTCGGAACCCAAAGGAGCAATACTAATAACAATACCAGGAAATACTCATCAATATAGTGTCTCCTCGTAGCTTCTCATTCGAGTCCCACTCGAGGGAATAGCAGGTGTGATGTCAATTGAATGTATTCTATCAATCCATCTCCACTTTATTCTCTCTCTCTCTCTCTCTCTATATATATATATATATATACATATATAAATTAAGTGTTATAGTAAGGTAATCAATGTTTAACTCACCTTTCTAGACCATTGACCAATACACGGGCCACATGCATTAGCTAATACTATACCGCCAATAGACTGAAACACTTCAGTTATCCCATCACGTTCAATAGTTGCTCTGATTTGTTCACTGCCAGGTGTTATATAGAATTGTGATTTGACTTTAACACCTTTGTCTAATGCTTGTTTAGCTAAACTGGCAGCACGTGACATATCTTCATATGAGGAGTTAGTACACGAACCGATTAGACCAGCGCTAATATGCTGTGGCCAACCTTCTTTAGCTGAACGACTAGACAACTAGTTTATTTTTCAAATAAGTAAATAAATTCAGAAATAGTTAACCGGCATAAAATGTATAGGACATAGAAAATTTATAGAAAAAATAGGCACTGATGATGAAAAATGTGTATTTTCTAAAATATCAGGTCAACATAACCAAGTGAGAAACTCTATTGAATCACCTTCATATCACGATAATAGTAAAAGCTATTTTTCAATAGGTATATACATGTATATAGACATTTAAGGGCCAAGTTAAACAACAAGAACCCCCCAATGATCTTGCCTCCACCAATCGCGTTAAAAAGACAAATTTGAGTGAGTCAAATCAATTTGATCTACTGATGTTATCTCAATGGGAATACCGTCAATCACTGGGGGGGGGGGAGGATTTAAGTACATTCAGTTGATAACTCACAAATAGAATAAAACACAAGTGTCCTGAAATTCCACTGCTTGAGAGCACTAATCAAATAAAATGAGATTAAACGCTTACAATGAACTTCGTTCAGAATGTAGGGAAAAGATATTTTCCGTAAACTAAACTCTAACTCCTCACTCTAAACGAGAGTAGTTATTTGGATGATTACCGACACTCCTATTAGAAAATGAGAGTTACTTATATCAGTAACGTTATCTTAACTCCTTTTAACAGTATTACAATTACAATCAATAGTATCCAATTTGCAATTCTTGATATTTTCAAGTTCTTTCTCTGAAAATTAATTATTTATTTAAGTGACGTAACTGAATTATAATGCATTATTTTCTTTATTGTAATCTCTCATACGAAAGTACATTCATAAATAATATTAGTGTTATCAATAAAATACAATAGGATGGGAAATAAGACGACTATTGATAGTCAATACAGTGGGAAATAAGATGCTTTCACAACCTCGTCGATTGATTTCTCCTTCAACTCACCTAGCACTCGACCGACGCTAACCTCAATGTTGCTCATATTATAATACCACGCGCTACCTAACACGAGAGATAGAAGGCAGACACCTATGATCAAAGACAGCTAGCTAGCCAGGCCTTTTTGCGTATCTTGCACTTTCAGTGGGGGCCATGTCTCACAGTCAGCCATAAAGGAGGATAAAGAGCCCGTTTCAGGTGATTCAGGTCAAAGTTTATAGCACTAACTAATGTGTATGCGCAATGATCACTGAATGATAAACTAGTGTAGTGTAGTTTATCTATTCTTAAGTGTACTAAACTTGAAAATATGACCTACATAAAACATATATTCATGTATTTTGACTATTATTACTAGGTTAAATGCATATAAACAAGAATGTTAGCCACATGCGGATATACGCACACATACAAAAGTGAAATGAAAATACAAATCGTGATTTATGTTCACATATATATACAAACACCGAATAAAGATCACATGATAATAATGACCAAGGGATTATTAGTACACACACACACAATAGCCAATAGATATTCTAGTAAGATTATAACTAGTGCAACAAATTATGACAACATAATGTCAGTCAGCTGGTCCAAAAGAATCAATATGAATGATCATAATAATAATCTATTTTACGAACTTAACTTTTTTGAAATACTAATAAATCATACGCATATAAAGTGTTTCTAAATATAGAAAACCAAACCGCATTTTAGGGATAAGCAGTGTGAAGTAAATTGATTAGTGCTCTTTGTTTAAAGATATATAAATATACGTTTTAAGCTTTCAGGTACTTTTAGTTAGACACTAGTTAATAACCGGTGTAATGTATTCAATCCTTTGTTTGGTGCGGACTGAATTCTATCAGTTAAGTTTGCAATGTGGCCACCATTCCAGAGAGCTCGCCATCACGGCGCATTTTGAATTTTTGATATTATATGGTTGGGGGCAATCATGAGCCCGAACAGCTCAATGGTAACGTCTCTGACTGCAGCACTGGGTGACGCGGGTCCGAACTGCAGAAGGAACATGAATTCCTTCAAGGTTGCAGATACGCCCTGCTGACTGATGAGTGCCAACTAGCACGAAACTTAGGTCCAAGGCTTCCTGCCGATTGTCTCCAACCATCTAATATCAAGCTTCTAGTTAGTGAACAGTGAAAAAGATGATGAAGTAATGGGCTGGAACAACTGAAAAATATGATAGTATAAGCTTGAATCGAGTCAGTTGACGAAACCATGGAGCGCTATTTTAAACACTTGATCTGTGTGTTAACCAACCCCCATCCACTCAATGTCACAAAAATTTACACAATTACTAGGTTGTATTTACTTACAGTTTGAGATGACAACCATACGGACTGAATACGCTAAGGAAAACTACTCTAATCACAATGTCAATTACTGCCATTACCACTACACAACAACAACAACAAAACAATAGTACCGACACGCAAACATAATTTGAGAATATAGCACAACCGCTAACCTGGTGCTATCAGTGCTCTACAAAATTGTGTTTATGCTTCACTGATCACAATTTCTCATTAAAATTTGAGAGAATCTACGTCTTCTATGCTAGTTACCAATGGTGTGAGTAAAATTATTCACCTTCACATTTATTAATGGTGAATACGATACCATCTTGAGGATATATCATAATGAAGGAAAAGCGTTTAGTGAGGAGTTACTGTTTTCGGTGATATCATTCTCTAACTGTACAATCATATACATATATATAGCAATAGAAGGAATGTTTTCAGAGATACCTCATTTAAATCGTAGGTCTTAGAGATAAAAATTACGTAATACATAAAGCATTAATGAATAGAAATACGTAAATTGAATGGGGTAGTAACATAATTGACAGGACAGAGTGGAGTTCAACTAAAATTGATGAAGGGTCACGTTAAGATCAGTGTCATTTTAGGAGTAGAAATGTAATACTGGGAGGGGGAAAAATTAATAAAATTACCCTATCTAATAAGACAAACTGGGTTCAGTGACTGAACAGACCTTCACATAAAACAATCTCAGTTGTGAAGTCATCATATTTTGAAACAGAACACACAGAGAGTAAAAAAGAACAGACACAGAATGCTAACCTGCAATAAACAAATACAAATTTTACAAGGTAAATGTAAATTAAGAGACATCTAGCATAGATATCTGGAAGTCCAATGTCATTGTGAATGTTTTCCAGTTATCAATCATCATTATTATTTCCCAATCTCTCTCCAGTGAAATTTTGCATAACTGAAAGCAAAGGTTATAGGCCTGAAAAATCAGTGCTATATAATATTGCGGTCTGACCACACACACATGATTTCAAATTGCAACTTAATCCCATATCTCATTCAACATTGAGTGGTCTTTTCATATGGCAGCGATTGAGTATACACAATAGATATTCTGTCCATCAAGATGCCCAAAAATCTATCGATCTATCTGCTTTTCTTCCCCTAACATACTACATTTAATCCCAAAATTACTGATTAGGTAGTTCTATCTAAATAAAACAATGTCATGCTCAAAAAAATCTGTGATCTTCTCGTATCGTCTACTTTCAGTGGTATGATGTCTGGTTGTACAAATAAATCTCAAGAGATGGGATAAGATCTGAATTTCTGGCTACTTGGTTGCTTAACTAATTACAGTCGCAACTACACACCAAATTACACCACGAAAGATAGACAGAAGCATGTGCAAAACTTTGTACAAAGGTGAATCTGCTTTCAGGTTGTCACGCTCTCCTCGACAACACACAAAACATGGGAACGCCATCACTCACTGGGAAATGCAGGTAAATCAAGATGATGAGTCCCAAACAGCACGAAATGAGCATCCTGGATCCCACTGCTAGTCACCATCATCCAAGTGACTTCAAATAAAATGACATGCAAAATAAACAAATAAGTGCAGAGAGAATTGACTAAATGAAATTGGTATCACACAGATGATGATGGTGGTTTGTGTGCATGACATTACAGTTGTTCAACTTCTGAATGTTCAAATGATAAGGACATTAGTCAAGCGACCTACACGTCACCAAACCCAGTTGAGATCGATAATAGCTATTATAATAATCATAATAAACTGCAATGAACAATCTAACCCAAATGCAAATGAATGGCTTACTTGTGAAATCGGGTGAGCCAGATCAGGAGTAAATGGACCATTGACATGTGGTTCCAAGGTATCTAAATTGATTTCAATTATTTTATCGTATTTGCAGTTTGCATCAGGTGTAAGCAAAGAACCCTAAGAAGAAACACAGAGAATAAACAATGATATGAGCATAGAAAATTATACGTATATGGTGTTATTCACACTGGTGATCGAAATGATTAGCCTCATTCCTGAACGGATGCAGCGATATGACCAGGGCTAATAACTCAATTTTTATTTAGTTGGTGGTGGCTAGGAGCATTGGGACCCAGAACGCGTACTTCGTCCTATTTAGGACTCATCAATGTGGGGAGAATGCACACCTACACAACGATTACGAAATAGAAGGAAACGAGAGTTGTGGATTACACTGCCAGCTACCATCCATCACACCTCAGTGTGGATGGTGTTAGATGATTATCTTAACCACATTTTGTATTCGTATTGTTTTACAATGGCAATAACAACTATCAACTAACTGCGTTAAATGAACTAATCAAGATAATTGAGCAGTTGCTTATTAAAAATACAACTCTGGAGTTGTTGCTAGTAAAGGATACAATATTTATTAGTACACATATGGTTTTTATAACATCAACAGTACAAAAAGGAGCTCTGCGTAGAGACATTATTCATAAGAGCCAAGACAAACTGTAGCACTCCTGTATCCTGAAGAGAACAGGAAAGACATTTCTTGACCATTATTTCTCAGGAAAATGTACATATATCCATAGAATTTCATCAAAAGATATATACCCGGCAAATCAAATAAAGAAACACAAATTAAATCACCTTCTGAATAAGTAAGGAAAATCGTTTCGCCTTATTTATAGAGCATTTTAAAGATCACTCAGCTGAAATATTGAAACCCTTTAGAATGAATATCTCCTACAAGCAGAAACAAACTTTAGACACGATTTCGATTAGTATGCTACGTTTGCTTAGTTACATAAAACTCTCATTTCTGCGGTGTTTCTGGCCAGGATGTTGTGGAATTTACTGTAATTCGTTTACCTTCGAACACTGAATCTGCGGATATCATCTTGTTGACCGTTAATACCTATAACCAACTGTTTTTGCACTTTGTGACTGTTTAATACTAATATCTATAACATAACATATTATTGGATTTACATGCCCAAGTTGACCCAAGTAAGTGAGTCTATGGGTTTCATATCATTTTGTTAACTGTATTTGACAGTGATATTATTGCTACAGTTTGTGTTGTTGTTGTCGCTGCCCTTCCTGTTGTGAATTTTTTCTTTTTGCTGGTGTTGTTCTGATTGCTTTATTCCTTGTTTTCCTGATTATAAGGGGGGCAACTCATCAAGTCTCTTCTCTGTAAACTATGTATACATGTAACAACCCCCTTCTCAGGTGTGAGGCTAGCAACCCCGCTCAGTAAACAAAGCTTCTACAGAAACGATGAATCTCCTTGCGACAAAATAAAAAGTCTGTGCGGGGACAAGGAACGTCCGCACCATGTATGAGACTAGCAAAGCTGCCCAGATTGCAAATGAGATGGTATTCAAGTACTGGGAATATATGAAAGCAGATGGAATGGGAGTGGACTCGCAAAATTGTCAACGGAAGAATCAATGATCTACTCCGGTCACCCAGAAGACAACCACGAGCACACCAAGGGTGTGGCTATCGTGATGTCACCAACGGTAACGAAGACCCCCATACAATGGGAGGCGATCTCGCCCAGAACAATGACCGCTATATTCAACTCAAAAGGAAGGAAAGTGACAATTATACAATGCTATTCACCCAAAAACAACGCAGACCTTTAAAAGAAAGAAGAGTTCTACAGGCAACTACAGCCAACAATGGACAATACTCCAGTCGGTGACATTAAAATACTAATGGGTGAATTGAAAACATTTATTTCCCGATACGAATTTAAAACAAGCAACAAAGGTTAATAAAGCAGGATTTAATGAATTCATCAAATTTCGGTAGAACTCGTCAGTTGAATACTCTACATACACGGATATATATACTTTTGAAATTACATTGGGAGATATAAGACTGATAAGCAAATAAACTACATTGAATTAGTCATGCAGAAAGACAGGTGCGAATGTTTTCCAGGTCATGTTCAAATAGATAAGGGAAGAGGGAGTATGAGAGATTAAAATTAAGATAAAATGCATTACGCTTTAATGACATCACTTAGATAAACAATTAGTCATTAGAGAATATATCAAGAACTGCAAACAGAGTAATATCAATAGTAATAATTATAATAAAAACAATAATAATAATAATGTTGAAGTGAGTTAAGATAATGCTACTGATAAAGGATAGTTTTAAATGAATCAAGAATAATAATAAGGGGTAGAATAAAAAGTAAAACGTATTACCATGGTAGATTCAGAGTGACAACCATCTCCTTTTGTACACAGAGACCTGGTTTATAAACTCGGATTGCACAAGCCTTTGCAATTGCAAGCATCTTCCTGTTTCTTTATCTGCTGACAAAAGTCAATGACTTGACAGCGTCGATATCATGTTCATAGTCCACAAGATGTTTTGTTATTGAGGTTTTTGGCACTTTGCATTCAACCATTTTGGTAAATGCTTTCCATACGCTTGGCAAAAAACAACACACTTATTTTGTAATGGTTAACTGATACTACCTGGGTGGGTGGAATCGGGTCTGAACGTTTGACCCACTAGGAAGAAAATGAGCGCCTAGACTAATGAGACACACAGCTTTACATGCAGAAATATGTTGTTAATGATAAAATAACGGTAGGGCTTCTTAAGAAGTATTATCTGTATAAGTATACCCCAGTTTAAGGGGAAGTGGAACTCGAAAACAACACCCACTAAGTAAAACTCAAATGTTTGAAACAGTAAGACATACATCTACATAGTATGGAATATATGAGAATTGAACAGAAACAATCCAAATAAGCACCGGCTCCGTTTTATTTAAATATATAACCACTCCTAGTGACTGATCAAACAATTTCACAATAGTTTCAAGTATTGTTTGTTTTGATTGGTTGGAGGATTTCATCATGAGCTGACATCAGTCAGAGAACCATTGGAAAACCAACAGAGAGTACTGGAAAACCGTCTCGTCCTAATTTGGGACTCTTCGAACCCCGGAGGGTGCATATATTATATATATATATATTTATATTTTTATTACAGCTTGATGCCACACCGTATTTTCAGTACAAATATGGAATTTTCAGCATGGATATCGGTAGCCCAAATTTCGCAGGCCAACCATAGATATCGGGTGTGCGTCGGCAGGGGATCGAACCCCGGACCACGTGCATGGTCGGCGAGAGTCCTAACCACTGTGCCACCGATGAAGAGTCACAAACTAGGACGAAACAGTTGTCCAGAACTCCCTGTTGGTTTTTCAATGGTTCTGTGACTGATGTCAGCTCATGATGAAATCCCCCAGCCAATTTCACAACAGTTTCAAGCGTTACTACCCTTAGCAGTTTAAGCACAAATCTTCCTAGACTCTTCTTTCGAAATATAAAGCCTGTCTAATACAAGAGGAAAGAAAAATTTGAGTACGCCACAAAAAAATTGTAACAGCGAATCCTTGAAACAGTCTAGCACAGTAAAAAGAAACAGAAGAGTTTTTATTTAGAAGAATTAGAATAGGAATTTCTAGGAGTTTGAAGTATTTACGTAACTAGAGGACAGCAAAGAATACAAAGTGGTTCTCATATTTTGAAAGAAACTATATGAACCAATGGTTAGTTCGATATTATTTGTTTGGTGATTTTTTTATTAGTAAAATGCAGGAATTGTTTTTTGCCCTATCCTACGGCACTTTAAATGTATAGACGTGATATACATATGCCATCATAGTAGTGGAATGTTCGGTAGACATCCAGGAGGTTCGGCTTTGACTCTAAGCTGACGTACCCCTAAACCTCACCTAACCAGGAGTAGGTTCAGAAAAAAGAGGGGAGGTTGGGGAGTGAGGTTAGCTACCTCACTCCATAGAGATTAGACCCGTGCTACTGAAAGTTCGAAGCTTGAAGCTCTACCTTCTACTCAGAACGCAAGGGGAATGAAAAAAAGACAAACTTCGAATATACTTAACGCTGAAATGATTACCTTATGCTTTGATGCTAAATCACCAATATCCGCTCTGTTTGTAGCACGTAAGTAGTCCAACATACGATCGTTAAAAGGGAAAATTGATGTTGTAGCACCAATTTCCGCACCCATATTACAAATTGTAGCCATACCCGTACAGGAAATTGATTCAACACCAGGACCATAATATTCTATAATAGCTCCAGTTCCACCTTTAACTGTAAGAATTTCAGCTACCTGTATAAACAAAAAGAATATTTTATCATATATAGGAATAACATAATAGAGGAAATATGCTATCCGTAACTAATCCATTATTTCAATAAACTCTAGTTGATTTATTTCATGTTGTACTGTTTAACATTAAGACTATGTACACCAACATACTAAAATCTGACTAGTCGTTGAACTGTGTATTTATTGGATTTTGAACAAAACAAATCCATTTGAGAGGCAAACATACAAGATATGTATTCTACAGAATCTGATGAGGAGATCCACAGCAATTAGCACAAGGAACAACATCCGAATTTTTAACACAAGGAACTCTGGAGGTGAACCAACCAGCAACCGACTACCCGGAAAATATGCAGATGGTTAAGACATACACACTAAGGAGACTATAAAGTGACATTGCATTCCAGTCCTTGAGTAGAACCCGAATAGGAAGCTAAAAGTTGAATGTACAAGGGTGACACAGAGATGATCGTGTGAGATGGGAGTGAAATTTTGTGGATGGTCGTGGAGCCAGCTGAAAGTGGTGGCAGAGAACTGAGTCAAGTGGATATGGACTGCTGATGTCTTGTGTTCCACACGGAAAAAATAATAATAATCATCAGGATATAATTCTACAGAATTAAATGCTACAATTGAAAAAAAAATATGCTCATACCTTCAGTATAATATCTTTTGCACTTGTCCAACCAGATAACTTTCCAGTCAAATGAACACCAATTACCAGAGGTGCTTTTAATTCCCAGGGTAAGTTAGCCATTACGTCCACTGCATCTGCACCGCCTACTCCAATACACAGACCGCCAAGTCCACCGCCATTAGGCGTATGACTATCAGTTCCAATGATTAACGCACCAGGAAAAGCATAGTTTTCTAATACAATCTTTAAAAATAACAAAATCATAAAAAAGAAAAATTTGAGTGAAGAATATTCTTTTTAATAATTTCCTCTCCTGGCTCTACAATTATATATATATATATATATGCATAAATATGTCTTAATATATATAGAATATTCTAGAGCAGTCGTCATTAACAATATTGTTTTGTCTGAAATACTATCGATCTGTTAAGACCACAGTTCAAGAAAGATGCTTAAGTTATGAACATAAAAATGTAATACTAAATAGAATATAAAATAAAATTAAGCAAATCTCTACAACAAATTAAGGATCATTCAAACCTTGATGGTCGAGGGGTAAAGATAGTGTCTGAACCAACCAACTTCTTTTGGATACGTAAGTTAGGTTTCTTAATGTGGATACCACCAACCTCAGCAATATGTAATAGCCGAACTCTTGAGGTAAAATTAAGCTTATTTGGTATATGGCAGATGACTTTGGAGGCCTTATTTACATCAATTTTGTGTTTTGTATCCACGAGATGAGACGGTATAGAACTATGAATGGACCTTTTTTGTCCCTTACTTAACCACCATGCAGGATGATTTTCGGGACTCCAACGATAAACACGCCTAATTGTACGGTCTATGTAAGCGGCTCCACAGGAGCAGTTAAAGACCTTTCTCAGAACTGTTGGTACTTTGGCCTGCCTTGATTTTTGATTCATATTCTTATCGATGAATTTTTCTGAGTAATCGTTCTTACTCAGCAACTGTTTAATGATATTAAGCTTTTCATTAAGACATTCATCAGAGTAGATTGCTTTTGATCTCTGGACCAAGGACTTTATTAGATTGCGTTTGTATTTCAAAGGTACGAAGCTGAAAAAATGAGGAAACTGAACGTCTAGGAATGAAATACTAGAGTCTCTTTCTTTCGCGATGGTAAATTCTATTGCAGGATAAACATCGCTAAATACAATGGCAGCATGATATCTTGAACATGAATATAACTTTTAGAAGACAAACTGTTGAAAGACAACGAGAATTAAACAGCTGATTCTCTATGAAATTCGCCTTTTGAGCAATGTATATTTGTAACTTCATAGATGAATTACAATTTCAACCAATGACTTTCATAGAGTTTACTTTAAGAGTGAGTAGTTATGTCAGAACTAGTTTCCGTAATTCTCAACATTAGTTATTCTATACACAAAACCAAATAACAATGGTCGTACAACATTGGTAAAGAATTCATTGTGATATATGAAGGAGGATCGATGTGGTAAAAATGATTTCAGGCACATCTTCATGAAGCCTAAGCTGTTGCCATCCATAAAGGGAAACCTGAACAATGTACTCCGAAATGCCATACCAGCCTCTTTTAATACCACCGCTTTGGTCTTAATTTCCTTTTCTTGATTTTTTACTCAATTTGTTTTTGTTACATTTCTTTGCTTGTGACCAGCAGTCATTTCTTTGAGCTCTCGTTTTCTCGTTAGTCATACACTTTTCCGATTACGTAAGATTTCTCACTATTTATGATGAACTTTGATTTATCTCAGTTCTTACTAACTGATAATAACTTCTAACTCCTATTGGCAATTGACATTATATATAAAACTTCTAAATAACTGCAGAGATTTGATAAGTTTTTGAAAGAAACCTATTCGTTGACTTAGGTGTTCATAAAAAGCACAATAGCATGGAGAAATCACATATTTTATAGTTTTATGCATAAAAGTAACATAAAATTGAAGGTATGTTGAAAGTTATTTAATTCAAACAAATCACCCAAAGCTATTTTGTGTCAGTTTGTCTATTGAATATATCACATAGCGAAACAGTATTATTTACTAAATGACATTTTGGGGACAATTTCTTGTTCGTAATCATACCAATTGTAGTTAGTCAACTTCAAAACCTGATTTTCTTTAAATTCTTGTCCTTCTTTCGTATTTGTCGTAAGGTTAGTGGAGACAGGCTTAATATTTAATGTAACAGGGTGGATGGAGAAATTGATAACTGGAGCTTTATTTATAGAATCGACTGAGAATCCATCCAATGAGAATAACGCAATACCTATCCTAAGACATTTGGAAAATTGCACTACCCTTACAACAAGTATGAAAGATGGAGAACTGTAAAAGTCAGGTTCCAAAGTTCTGTAGTTACATTTAATAATGTAGTTGTGAACAATAAATGGTGTTCAAAACGTCATCGAGTAAATAAAAACCGCTTCACTGTGTGATACCCGATAAACAGATTCATATAGCATTATATAATGCTACAATACACAAGTTCAACACGTATATCGATATTAATTCACCTACAGTAATATTTTACACACCTTTGAAGTAAGCTTTAAAATGAAAACAAACACTAAAATCTACCTAACTAGGGGTTTGTTCAGAAATCCCAAGTATTTCACATAATGTGAGTATCCCGATAATGTAATTTTTGGCTAGTCGTGACGATATACTTAATTGTCAATTTCTAAGCTTCACAACGACAACTTTCTTTAATCTGGGTTTGAAGTCAGTTAACTAAAGCAGACTACATTTTACAAGCTTGTTCTCTGGTAGTATAGGGTTAACAAAGTATCCAAAAAGTAATCAACAGTTTGACATAAGTACAATACTTGAGTTTTACGTCCAGGATACCTACATGAAACTCCTGGTTGGTTAAATTAAGTAATTAAGTGCTGTCACAATGATCACTTTTTGAAATAAGTATAATTACTTATTTAGTCTGCTCATGAGCCTATAACAAACTTAAACAGTATTTAGAAATTTTGCACGAAACCATTCCCTACAAATATTTTTAAAAGTTCTTATCACATTTAACATCAAACGCCCCAGGCTAATTTTATTAACCATGAAGTTTGCATATGTAAGGCGACAAAGAAAAAAAGAGCTAATGAACTAGTGTAATGCACACCTGATGTATAATTCCTGATCCAGGTTTCCAAAATCCAATTCCATATTTAGCTGATGCAGATGCAAGGAAATCATATACTTCTTTATTAGTGTCATTAGCTCGACTCAAATCTGCCCCAGCACCATCTTTAGCCTCAATAAGATGATCACAATGAACTGTTGAAGGCACAGCAACACGTGGAAGACCGCTACTAATAAACTGCAATAATGCCATTTGAGCTGTAGCATCTTGCATTGCAACACGATCAGGTCGAAGCATGAGGTAACTTTTACCCCTTTCAATAATCTAAAAATAAAAGGATCTTTGGAAAAAGTACAAATTACTGCATTTTTTGGATCATCAAGATGAGAATAAAGTACCTTTTCAGCTAAAGTTAGCGGGTGTGCAAGTCTAGAATTGTCATGGACAGCTATACAAACACTTACCGCTTCTTTACTGTATTCAAAGTATGCTCTAATTTATCATAATCCAAAGTCTTATTCTCAAATCTGCTAAGCGCTACCTTAATTAGGAAGAAACTAAGGATCAAATAAGAGAATTACCGAACGGTTTATGGAGAGAAGTCGGAAAAATTGAGTTTTGCTTGGATTTCTCAATAAAAGGTTGACGAAAGTCATGATAATGCAATATTTATTGTATAATGGTTGCAAAGTTCGAAATCTGAAATGAAAATACAAGTATCAGTAATAAATAAGCCCAAATGACAGATTGTCTTTCAAAAATTTTAAAATGTACATTAGCTGCAATCGGTATTTCTGAAATAATCCAAAAATAAACTTTTATTATGAAGTACACTCATTAAATCGGCTGCTTCTAAGAGCCATTAATGGCTCCATTGGGATACAAAAATGGAACGCTGCCAAAAAAGAAGTGAATACCTTGCAGTCAGTTTTCCGAATGATTTAATTGAGTTGAATGCCAATGAAAAGTTCAGCTATCCCTGACAAGTCGAATGTGGAGGAGATCTTGGCACATACAGAAGAAAAGTATTCTCCTATTTCAAATCTAGGCTTCGTCAGTATGCTTATATTTATATACTAATGGTACGAGCGGCTAACCACAGATATATGCTGCTCATGTAGCTGAGCTCTGCAATAAGAATTTCGGCCGTTTTGGTCTTAAAAATGCTTGGATGAGTATTCCACTCACTTAGAAACCAATTTGAATTTTTAATTTATAGCTTGAAACCCCACAGTATTTTTGGTACAATTATGGGATTTTCAGCATGTGATATCGGTAGCCCAAATTTTGCAGGCCAACCATTGATACCAGATGTGCGTCGGCAGGGGATCGAACCCCGGACCACTTGCATGGTCGGCGAGAGTCCTAACCGCTGTGCCACTGACCAATGGGTACAACCAACGATATATAGACTGTATGATCATATTAGCGATCACGTTTGTCTCAGAGATTAGGTCATGAGTGTCTATGTACATGCCTTGAAACGGTAAAACCGCGAAGGCCTCATTATAAACGCTGCACACATAACTGTAGAGTTAATACATGCAAATATGCCCTGGTCCTTAATGAAACAGGTGCATTTATTAAAACAACTATTTTCTGAATTTCATTTAAAACACAAAACCTGGTAAATTATAGGCACCAAGAAGATGCGCAGCAAAATAACATTAAAACAATATATGAGAGGAAATAGGTAGAGAATGGATAAAGGAGTTCACCTGGGAAGAAAGCAGCTATATCTAACCACGCTAAACAACATTCGTCGAATCATTGTCAGAAAGGGAAAAAAAAAGGGAATTACAGAACGTTCATCATTGGGGGCACATAGATATCCACCGAAATAAGGATTAGAAGTGGCAACAGTAAAGAATAGACACCAACTTTAGACGACCTTGAAACGGCCAATCAGATTCTTTCAGGTGAAAAGTGGTACTTAATTTACAAAGTGTATCTACGACATATAATAAAAATGAATTATATAGGGTATATATTCCTAATATGCTGCAAAAATTGGTCCCAGATTATCATAGAAGTGATAGGAGAACAGCCAGATTGGAAAGAGCTGGAAACGAAAAACTTCGGTGGTAAGCTTTCGTCCACACAGATAATGAGAAAATGATAGGGTCAGAGACCATGTAGACAATTCTTAGAGGCCAATTCATGTCAAAGGACGTCGTCAAGTGCATAGATGTAACCAGACACCAGTAGGGGACAACGAAATGTGTGTCACTTAGTCAGTATAATGTAGTTTGCAGTTCCATAAGTGCGTGTCACCTGTTGCCAGACGTTTCAGACCCGTCTACCTGTAATGCTTCAATGTAAAAACCGGTACTGGTAGAGTACCCAATGAAACACAGGGTTATAACGAGGTAATTCTTAGACAGTCCTAACGGAGAAGTAGTAGTAAAAAGAAACCTGGTCATTGAGATTTGTTTTTACAAATCTTATTACAGACAATTCCATATGCTGACCTTAACATTTTATCGAATATACAAGTTTTGAACCCAAGTTGACCATAGAGGGGCAAGATGAGAAAGAACTGTTTTCCACAAGACACTAACTCTCTGAAAAAAAATCTAAAAAGGTGTATCCGCATTAGTATAAGCTCGATAGTTAGCCATCTGTCCACGAAAACTAGGGATTACTAAGAGCAATAGGTAGGAACACCCAAAATACCGTTACTCTCGCTGAGACCGCGAATTGGGTTCCAAGGTCAGAACGTAGCTGGTGAAAACAATTGCAAGTGTTTTAATGTTTCAGATTCAGATTATAAGAATGAAAGGCTCTTGTTGCTTATGCTAATCCTTGCAATATATATCTCTGCAGAGATCTAGTTCTTCTTTGAAAGCGTTCACCGATGGAGCTGTTTCTACTGAATCAAGAAAGGAGTTCCAGTCGTTGACCACTCTGTGAGAGAATCTAAATTACACACATATGTTATTCGACCTCGGTTTGAGTACCTTCTTGTGATGACCTCGTAAATGTATCCTAGAAGGAGAAAAAAGGTTTGAAAGGTCAATCTGTAAATCACCCTTTAATAAACAGTATGGCAAAATTAATTCGTCTCTCCTCCTTCGGTATGATGATGGGAAGAGATTTAAATGTTCCATCTTCTTATCACAAGGAAAATGTGACATACTACTAACTAATTTGGTTCCTACCCCCCATACTCTTTCCAGGATATATGCCTCCTTTTTGAAGCATGGACTCACCGCTTGTATGCAGTATTCCAGATGAGGTCTGACATATGTTGCCTAAAGTACTTGGAACATGCTCTCGTCTAATCGTTTGAAGGCCCTTCAAAGTGCCAGTAGCATTCGAAAAGCCTTGAGCGTCAGTAAAAGGTTTGAGCACTGTGGAATAGATCAAATGAAGCATAATTAGATTCCAATGGTTTACACACAATGAAACATTACCAATAACAAAAACTTATCATAATGTGTAAATCACTGAAATATAATTATACTCTATTTGAATTGCGAGTGGCCTTATGTGTATATCCCCGCTAACTGTTGCGTTGCAGTACATTTCTAGTGATTTTATGATGCATTATACTTTTTGTATGCTTGTTAAATGAAATTTTGCATTGAAAATCTTTTTATGATATATATATATTATCGGTGGGATTCTATTCTTGAAATGAGTTATACGTGTTGCACTTTTAACAGAAAGCATTACTTGATGTTGACGTCTGATCAATGTAATGGATTAAAAACGGGTAGTGAGTTCAAAATTTCAATCAATAATTTCGAATTTTCATGAGACTTTGATGTTTTATTTTGGCCTATTTATCGAAACGCACTGATAACCAACGGATAAGGGTGACACCACTTCAAAAAGAGATATGCCATATAACCGCCTGTACCGATGCTAGTTGTGCTTTCCTTGAAATCAAAATCACCAATTATATCCCTGAATTATAATCCACTGGGTTTAGTTCCACCTACAATTCTGTTGAATTGGAAGCTGTGAGAATTTTTGCATCGTGTCTGTCATAAAAATATCAACTTTTTGAACTACGAATGTTTCTGTACCTCTAATTAGTACGCCTTACAATAATGCACTCGCTAGGTTATTGAGATAGAGTTCAATAATCATACAGACCGTGGGGTAGACGGATCGCTGGCGCCGAATACACTTCAGAAGGGTTCGGGGACGATTAAAGTAACAGCTACTCGATGTCAACAATGAAACCTCCAGATACACAGAAACCAATTGGTGGATTGCGGATATCAATACCAGCTACAAGTAACGGCGTTTAGGTCCTATTTTACCACTTAAATAGTTGAATTTGAATCACAGGACTATATGATACCAGGAAGTCTTGTTTCCCGAGAGGGATAATAGGACCATCAGAAATATTGGCGGCGTATAAATATATACCGTCAATAATCCTATTTACTCTACCTGGTGTGACCTTAGCTTATTTATCAATTGGGAACCCAGTATTACCCTTGATTAGGGCTCACTCTGATGATCGGAAAATTCTTTAAACTTCTCTGTATGGAGAATGTCATCATCTGGAGTGCTGTGAACAGCTACATACCGAATAAATCAGTCTCTTAAGTTCACCCCTGTACTTAAGGGATCGAGTAGTGCAGTGCTAAGTTAATACTCTTTGTTTAAACTAGCAGGTGGCTTAACCACTCCAGTCAGCTGGACGACCACAAGCAAACTGGCATCTGATGTGAATGTAAGCTACACAGACAACTTCCCGCTCCCCATCTCGGAAATCGCCTCTCCAATACAATGATGGAGTACGGTCCCAATCAGTATCCAATAGGAGGCAAGGAAAATCTAAGAGCTACCTCAGGAATGCAGGTAGGAATACTACAGCATTCACCTTGTGAGTAAAGATTTAGGTGCTCCTCAAGCGTCTATATAGCCTCAATTGAATGTTTACAACGGTGCTGCAAAACTCCTCCTGAAAACAGAGACTAATCTTTTGGACAACGTCGAGAGAAATACGACAAAATCTGAAATTGGGCTGAAACACCGGTTGTGTGGAGTTGGACTGCGAAGAACAAAATTATACACCTCAAGGTATCAGAAAATCAGGGTTGGGTGAATAACAGAGTATAAATTAGTAAACAACCGGAAACTTCAGAGAAGTAGCATTCTGTATAAAGTGCGCTTATAAGTTCTTACAGAATTCTACGAAGTTAACCGTCAGCAGGCTTTTTCATATATGTTGTTGAATTTCCTTTCTTCTCAGAAACGTTTTGAATTAGTGGACATCGCCTCCCAATTAACAACTTAAAAAGAAAGCGTATAGCGTTTGCTTTCACTTTTTTAATTATTATTACCTTTCCTGTGGTTCTCTTGCAAATCCTATATCTTCTAATGATTTGATGATTTTTTGTTGATATGGTGGGCGTAGTTCCGAAAGATAACATTATTACCAAGAAACACAATACAAGTTGCTACATGTGCATACTTTCACAGAACACTAAGTAACGCTTTTTCAGATGACTGGAGTGAAACGTTGAATGGAAACCTCCAGACAGAATAAAAATCTGGAGAAGCATCTTAAAACACTCATGGATGTAGGTATGAGAAGAATTTGGGCACTTCAGTGGAATATAACTCCACGTTATAATGATATCAAGTTATCACACACTCGAACGTGATACGCAGACGTATCTTTTTACCTACACTCCGCAAAATTAAAAGCCTGTGGCTTCATGGACACTGAACACTGAGTAATAATTCACCTGTTTTATTGATTCAGTTTGGCTGGTGGCACTCATCTGACACACTTGCATGACAGTCGGTTGTTTACCAGCGATTAATATTTAATTGAGCATACACTTGAAGCTGAGAACAGCGATCCCAGAAAGAGCACACGGGTTGGAATCATGAAATGGCGATTTGTGGGCGATTATATGGCATATCCCCTATTTAAAGTGGTGACACTTGCCTCACATTGTTGGCATTTGAGAGGTTCCGTTGATTCGAGTTGGGGCTAGTGTCGAAAGATGGTGTATCCAGATTCAAGGTCATAATGGGTTCCTGCGTTGACTGATTATATGTCTTCCTGAATTCGTTTGCCATTGAAAATTTAAGGTTTTTCTCAACGTTTTGCATATTTTAAAGTGTTGAGGTTAACTTTTGTAACCGGATGCTACTATTGGGCTTATTTTTAGTCTGATGTTCACAATTATTAAGCTGATAATTAACTATTATAGTAAACCTGCAGTTATTGAGCTAATTCACATATCCTATGCTTAGATAGTAAGGTGTTCATAGCACAAAATGAAAGTTAACCGCAGTCCCCTAAGCTTACCATAATGCTGAATTATAACTAGCTGATTCTGAAATAACTCAGCATGACAGGCAGTAATTTAGCACACTGTTCTTCTTCTACGCACTCTCAAAAGAAGCGCAACAGCCTTATTTCAGCCCTCCTAGCCCAGGTTCAGCACCCAGTGCTTCTTTTTAAGAACGACCAGGGTTGTTTCAGTACATACTGGGTTCATTCAAAGTAGATGAAATATTCATTTATAGTAAAGAGGGATTATTGATGCGTAGGTTGTATTTTGTTTAGAATTGCTCATAGAAATAATCCCGCACTCTCCAGGTCACTGGAAGAGCTAGGCACCTGCAGGTCACTTTCGTCCATGTTAGCCGACCACGTTTGGTTGATGCCACTTAACCGTTCGTTTACACATTGGCTTTCACGTTTATCCTGCAGTTATTCACAACTTACCTTGATGCACATTGTTCACAAATGTTGTGTTTCACCTCAGTTTTCTTTCCGTTGCCGTTAAAAATGGTTATTTCGTTTGTTTCGAAAGCTTTTATCAGCAGCCAGTTCATCCACTCCATTGTAATAGTTTCATACGTTGCACCCATGCGTGGTTTCAGTATTTAGCTGTTTTTCAGTTGTTTATCAAATGGCCCTGCGTAGAAGTTTTGGAAGTTATGCACATGAACATGTTTGGGTGGCAGAAGCTGTTGTTTCCGGTTCATGTCTTGGTTGCCGTTATAGTTGCTGGCTGGGTTGATTACTTGATATGTAGAAATCTGGGGAAAACAATGTCTGTCACATTCATGTTTACAGCATGCAACAATCTATGAGTGAGTCAGGTGAATAGACTACGATCAGTGTTGATATTAAAAAGGTTTTCGAAGATCGCATTAAGCCTTGAGTATTTAGAACCTGGGATGAAGTCGGAAAAGCTTTGAAGCTTTTTGAGAAGGTGATTATACCGTCAGTGTATTTATTAACGGCTAAAAAATACCCGATATATTGTGAGAGAATCTGAATGAAACAAGGATGAGCCACATGAGAATTGTGAATCTGTTGTACTTGTATGTGTTTTTGGCAACAAAAAGAAACCTGGAGGCAATCAGAAACCTCTACAGGGTAAGTGTTACTTATGGTTGTTAATGCCGAATGTACTAGATCCAAATATATGAACTAGAATTGTCTGTAGTAAAGCCAATTTTGTCAGCCATTCAATTTGTTGCGAGACAATTTAAACAGCGGAAAACTTATGATGATCTGGTGAGTGTACGAACTGTCCCGGTTAAAGGCAAGACTTTAATTAGCAAGAATGACCTTTCGGGTTGTGGTCTACAATCGGTGGTATTCTTGACTTTATAACAAGCTGAGAACCTGATTATTATTCAAGGTAAAAACACTGGCTGAATGCAAATTGATTGTTTCAGTTCAAATAAAGTTCTAATTTTCGGATTTTCGCTATTTCTCCTTGACTATAATTAGGGATGTCCATGATTTTTAGGAAAACTCTAAATAAATTTTCCTTGAACCCGTGGTCTTCTTTCTTCTTGGTGAAACATCTCGTGATACGAAAAGACGATTAGGTAGCAAAGTAGAATGTACTGTGATTGAGAATCATAGTCGTTGTGTTCCGGATTAATATCGCGCGTCAAGCTGTTATAACCCTACGGATATAGATTTTCCCTCATGGTGCATCATGATATCTAGAAATCATGAGCACACTGTCCTCAGTAAATTTATTTTTACTTTTTAAGTGATCGCAAATAGTGAGTCATTTGAAGTGATAGGATAAATACCTCTAAGCGCTTTTGTGGAGATTAGGATATGTTTAGTTTTTTCAACTGAGACGATCTTTTAACCAAGAAAGTTCCCAAGATGTCCACTTCTACTTCGTAATTCAAAGATAATGTTAAATTGCTCACTACGTTAGTAGCTATAGGAGATTGCCTTCAGCAGAAACCATTTTAAGTTAGGTACGTAGCTTTAGGTAATGTGTCATAGAAGTAAGCAGTGTATGTTGATTGTGTCTAAATATATTAAATGTCGTATAAGTGGTCAAATTGTAGTTCTTACATACGAGTGAGTCTCATAAATAATGAATGTATGGTGCAGGCGTTTACTTTGATTTGCATACCTAGCTCAAGCATTATGCCTTTATGTGGTATACAGTGAGATGCTTTAAACCTGAGAAATAAAAATGCAGCCGTTTTAAAACCTATCACTCGGCTTGAGTTTCAGTAAGCTTATTTAAAAAATATCTTCAGGTTCTGAGTCGAAATCAGATGTGTAATTTAGTAAGGTGAAGCGAACAAATCTAGCCCCCTTGTCTAAACTGAAGCAAATGTTGCGAAACAAGACTGCAGCTGCATCTAAAGTACTTATACTATGTTTAAAGGCGAATTGATTATGATTCTTAAAGATTCTTAAAGTGGGGTTTCAAGATGAAGCAAGAGTTACATTTTCACAGGCATATTGGCCGCAAGGATTAGGGTTTCAGGCGGACTGTGTCAAAATATCGCTACAATGAGGAAGATGGGATAGCTGGAGGGTAATGTCATCTGCGCAAACAGTTCACTTCATGCAGAAGCTGCACCTTTCGGCATAGTATCATTCAGTGAATACTCCACGTCTCAGGATATCAACGCAGCCTATTTTCGTGTGAAGAGCAGCACTGTTGGCAAAAGAATTCTATCAGTACATGGAAATCACCTATAAATGCTAATAGAACCTTCTGTGGGAACCTAAGTTATCATGTATATGTGTCTTTCACGTTATCTGTGTTTGGACAGGAATTATCGTAAGTTGAGAGGTTATTTCTAAGTGGATTTAATCTATATTTGCACAGATTGGTGCAGTTCGATATGGGTTATGTGTATTCAGTGTATAAAAAATATCTCAACTTTATTAAAATTGTGGTATTGTGTGGTTAGCTGACTGCAAGGCTAACAAATGTAGGTGATTCTCATGATTGCTGCGAGTGCAGTGTAGTGGAGAAGGTAATTACCTGTTTAGATTTCCTCACTGTTTCACTTAGCGAATTAATTTGGTGTATAATGTTATTATACGCATATTTAGAGGCTGAAGTTATTGATGTTCACGGATAGTACGAAGTATAGTAACGCAAGATCTAATACCCGCAACTTCTACAGTGTTCGAGGTGTGACTTTGGCTGCTTAACTAGTTAGGGATCGTGTACGGACGAACGAACATAAGACGAAAGAGTACCGAATGTCACTGATGCTTGGCCTAGAGTCTTCAGCTAAGCAACCGGAATTAAGAAGCGAGGGTCAGCATTTAATTTTCAGTGATGAATGCAGTGGCTGATAATTCAAGGGAATTACCTATCACTACACGTCCACGTACGAACCCTTGTTGGCTAACAACCATTCTTGTGTCACCCTACTGGTCCCGAAATACATCTCGTATTTTGGATGATCAATTCATAGTTTTGGTTTGTCATTGGTATTAGCAGATAAAAGCACAATAGGAGATGGAGGAAAAGAACTTGCCTTTAAATGAAACCTACTTTGTGCAAACCTGATAATTCTTCCTAGCGTCGGTGGCACAGCGGTTAAGACGCTCGCCGATCATGCACATGGTCCGGAGTTCGAACCCCGGCCGACTCACTCCTTTACCTCGCTAAGCCAGAAATAATGCTGGTAAAGAGGAAAGGTTAGGCATGAGGCTAGCAAACCCATCCTGTAAAATAAACACTGCTACAGAAACTTCAAGCCACTAGCTTGAAGCCCTATGTTCCACTGAGGAACCTGAAGGATAAAAGAAGAAAAGAAGATAATTCTTCCACTCCCAAACAGCTTTCTGGATGAGACTGGCTTAATAATGGTAGTTTTTCCATGAACAATGAATGGAGATGGATAGAAAGAGTGCAGAAGGTGGAAATTTAATTAGTCAGTGATATCTCGCATTTTACCTATGAGATAGGGGACACAGAACTACCTGATGTTAACGAACAGAAGGACCTAGGAATCATTGTCGGCAATGATTTGAAAACAACTGCAAATTGCAATGCAGCCGCAGCTAAGGCTTTTCGAATGCTATAGGCACTTTGAAGGGCCTTCAAACGATTAGACGAGAGCATGTTCCAAATACTCTACGCAACATATTTCAGGCCTCATCTAGAATACTGCAAACAAGCGGTGAGTCCATGCTTCAAAAAGGAGGCACATATCCTGGAAAGATTACAGAGAGTAGGAACGAAATTAGTTAGTGGTATCTCACACCTTCCTTATGATAGGAGGATGGAGCATTCAGATCTCTTCCCATCATCATACCGAAGGAGGAGAGGCGACTTAATTTTAGCATACCGTATACTTAAGGGTGATTTAGGAACTGACCTTTCTAAACTTTTATCCCCTTTAAGGATACATTTACGGGGTCCCTGCAAAAGGTGCTCAAACCGAGGACGATTAAATTACGTGCAGAATTTAGATTCTCTCACAGATTCTCTCATCTGAATCTGAATCAGATGAAAGGAGATTTACACCTCTTCCTCTAATCACGATGGAGGTGAGGTGATTTAATTTCGGCATGTCGTATATCAGAGGGTGAATTTAGAACCAACATCTCTAGCCTTTTCTCTAGCTTTAGATTACTTTTGTGAGGTCGCTAAAACGGTGCTCAGACGACGAATAGTTCATATGTGTATCTGAGATTCCCATATAATATTATGTGGTCAACGACTTGGATTCCTTTTCTCATGGACGCTTTCAAAAAGAAAATATAATGTAGGCCACAAGAGCCTACTATCACCTGTTATCTGAATCTGACATTCTTCACTGGATGTTGGCGGGATAATCAACTAGTGTCGGTACATTGCGATGTTTAACCCGTCGATTTCCATGAAACAGGAGAGATCCGATAAAACTAAGTCTAATTTTTTCTGCAAGATATACAATGATCCTTACAAATGGTATGTTGTCATTTAACGAGGCTTACCCTAGTAGGTCACTGGTGAAAAGCGTCGCAATGTTTGCTTCTGGAGTTGTGGGTTTTCTTATCATTCACGAGGCCGTAAACGCTCCTTTAGAAACTGTATAAATAATTTGATTGTAAATTAAATTAGAATATTTTCTTGTGAATAAACTATGAAGTGATTCTTTTTTTTGATTTCTAGACTACACTTGACATACATATGTATGTGATGCATATATATGTTTTCCTCGTAAATTTATGTTTTTTAAGCGAATAGCAATGAACAATGTTGATCCAAAAATCGATTTTGACAGTTCATTCAATTGCGTTAAAAGTGCACAAGAACGCCTGGTTCGTCTCAGGGATCGCCAGTTAAAGCGACGTGGTATACTTCTCCGTCTTCTCCTAAGGGATAGCTCCTTCTTGGCAAAACTAGATACTTGTGATAATCGTAATATAACCTTGTTAGAGGTTCTTGGTCACCGTAGGCCTCTTCACTCAAAGTACGATGAAATCATTCGCAGAAAACAGTCAATCTTGTGAGTTTTGTTGTCATTAGAGCAAAAATTCATGTTCGTATAGCTTCTATTATTTAAAGTTGGCATATCATCCATTTCTAAGAATTATATATACATGAGTATTTCATTCTGGATGGCTGTCTAATATTTTAGTCTCAAAGCAAGTGTGACTTATACCGTTGTCCAACAAAAGTATGGTCAATGTAATAGCCCTGGTCAATAAGTGCATTTCTTTGGGCTTTCGACTGTTTGTATAGTTTTGATTATTAAAGATTTCTTCGGGTACTGACAGGGGTTATCGTGAATTAGAAGTTATAGTAGTACAAATTTAAACTGCTTATGTTGAAGAAACATATTCAGATGTACAGAGTTGGCGATGTTTCTCAAACTCGTATATGACAAGGGAGGTGTATTCGCTCGGTGTCATCAGAGATTATTAGACTCATAAGTTCATTCCTTAGTGTTAAGCTGCAGTGGTCATCTAGCATTCTCGATTTATGTGCAGTTTAACTCTTCAGAATTTGTTCAACTATCATTTTAAGTTTCCTGAAATCAAAAAATATTCTGCTTTTAGGAATGTCACCGTATTATAATTTTCTAATCATAATTCTGAACATTCGAATTTTATTAGTTGCTCATTGGCTGAAGTAGTGGATCTTGGGTTTAAACTCGTAGGCTATCTGTGAATCTCAACGAGCCATTGTTTAAGTTAATTTTCATACATTCAAGCAAATAGAGTATACGACTCTGTTATTCAGTATAAGTCCTCTTTCATTCTTTTTATTATGACCTACATATAATGGGTAGACAATCGAATTATTATCCGACTTCTTGGTCTAAAGTAAGAAGAGTGGGAGTATAAACTTGGCAACTAAACACAGGCGTAACTAGGCATCTCAGTGAGGTTGAGTTCTCCCCGTTTATATACGTCATTATATTAACCTATTTGATATTCAGAATTAGATACACATGTTGTTGTTCAGTCTTCCTAAGCATGCATTTCTTGGTACATTTTTTGTATGTTTCTATTAGTACCAAAAACTCAGTCGGCTTCCCCTTATTAAATACGACATTGAAGTTTATATTAAGGCTTTCGAAATAAGGAGTAACCTAGCTGGGTTGTACCTCAGAGTTACCATACACTGATATGTTATGAGGACACATTATCAATGTGCAGATCATTTAGTTGAATTTATGTGTTCACATGAAGTACTATTGGAAATATGAATGAAAATTATTCTCAGCAGCTAAGATGCGTTCATTCTCTGTAATCTTCCATGCTTCTTGAACCGTAGTGTTTTTTCATGTTACTATTCTATCTCCCTCACATTTCCACCTGTTATAGTACTTTAGAATCCTTTTCTTTCTTTTTCTGCCTTTGGGTGCTAAGTTCTGTGTTGAAATTCAGTCAATCAGTCACATTAAGTACCACTGTTTGATATCTTCCATAACAGTACATCTTCTAAAATCGTCAACAGACTATTTATTTGTAAACAATTAACTTAAATCGCCAGTAGTTTTTAACTGATAGACTTATTAATTCAGTCTAAAAATCTTAATTTCAAAGTGAAATACTGCTTTAGTAGTAACGTCGGTATAATAGAAGTGTATGGTCTTCTAAAAGTGTAGATCTAACCTCTTATCTACAATAGATATTTAAAGCTGCCAGCTTTGTGGATTTGTTTTCTTTCACATAATTTTGATTTGAAATAAATGTTTACTGAAGAAATTTATATTATTTATTGTTTTTGTGATCCATTTTGGTGTTTAATTCCTCTTATTGAGTTTTTTCTGTTTGATACTGAAAAGTACAAAAACTCGAGCTGATACTGTTCTGTGATATGTTCCGCATTGCCTGCAGTTGGTGCGAATAAATATATATGTAATCTATGAATAAAATGGTAATCTCTGAACTCATTCTCATTAGAATCATATTATCTTCATTTCTGTTTCGTTTTTGTTTTTTATATTTTCTTAGACCAATCGTTTCCCGTCTGAAAAGTCCAGTGCTTAGTCTGAAACTACGTCGAGCGATACAATCTTTCTTACGCGAATCTAGTACAACTAATCATGATAATAATCAAATTATTCAACAATGGGATAAATTCAGTCTCGAAGTTGTCGGTGATAAACTTAGACAAACGCTGGCATCATGCATATCAAGCAATACAAATAGTGGTAATTTAAACGATAAAGCATCGAATGAAGACAATGCTATCAGTAAAACAGGAGATCCTGGCGGTGATTTAACTATCAGGACTTTTACTGGTTCAGCTGCTTTTCTCAAAGTAAGGTACTTTTTAAACATCATAGTATTAAATATGTTTCCTCCAGTTATTATGGATTAAATATGTTGAACATAAAATTTAAGGTTATTAAATCAAGAGTTTTAAAAAGTGTAATCGTGTTTCTACACATACCATATACTATTGTAGAATTTGCAGGCTATCATCAAACTGTATTTTACTTTGTGAACTATTTTTACGTGTAAATATTCCAGTGGAGATCTGGTTAACTGTCTGTATCCCTCCACCTGCAGACATAAAGTTATGGATTCTAATCACGTTTCACGTACTTCAACCTGGGCAACTGGGTAACATCATCAATCTCCCAGAAGTCTCTATATATGTGGGTGTCCTTGGGAGCCTGATAAATGGAAAGTCTGCTACAGGTAACTGAGTTATTACTAGCTAGCATCGTGGAAAAATTCGATTTGGTTGGTGCATTTAGTGATCACACTACAGGCAAAAACTATTTGATCAAAACTGAGTGCATTGCAGTTTCGCATCAGTTGATGCAGTGACCTCATTACATATTTAATCGAGATGTTTCAAAGAGCCTCAGAGATCTAATACATACATTGAATGACATTCATTTTTGACTCTTGAATTATGTCAAATGGTTTCTCACGTCATTCTCAGTCAAATGAACTGTAAATTATTGATTCTTCTTCAATGTGGAGTAAAATGGGTCTCCTTGATTCTCAATACTGAACCATACAGTGAAGCGAACACTATGTAGTTTTGCATATTTGAAGTTATTTTGCAGAAGATCTTAGAGTTAATATTTTAATGTCTGTCGCTATTCAACAACAACAAGTCTTGTATAAGGGTCATTCATTGTTCAACATTCTTGTCAGAGACAAACAAGCCTTATTTGAGATACTGTTAACCGTTCACAACATGAAGGATGTTTAAAGCGCTTTGTTTGGGAGTCCTCAGGATGCTAAGGACCAATAGTTGGAGACTTGGTGGTATGATTCAAAATCATCCTCAATGGCTAAATGAGTTGCATGCACTCTTTGTGATCTCTCACATCCATTATTATTCTTTGCCCAGTGTCTGTCTACCTTTGTATGCTACATTTAGTGTGTTAACTTGAACTACTGCACTTCTATGCAAAGTTTTATGCTGAAACTCACTCACTCACTCAGTCAGTCAGTCAGTCAGTAAAGATATGGAGTAATTATTGAGCTTCTTTTTCTTCACTTTTACTGTCAGTTCAATGAAAATCTTCACTAGAAGATTCTTGATTGTACAAATTAAAATAATACACTATACTGTCCTAATTTACGGTTATACGATGGTTTTGTTGTTGTGCGATGTGTGTTTGAGTTCCTGCTGAAGGTTACCTACCAGAGTATTAATCTCTACATTTAAATTTATATTTTCGTTTCAATATCGCATCTTCAACATTACACAATGTATTTATTTTCTTCTTCATTTAGGGAACTCAGAGTGCTAATCCACATAATGACTACTGTCAGCATTTTGTAGATACTGGTGAACGTCCACAAAATTTCATACGTGATACAGGTATGTTTAAAGCTATAGGGGTTATCAAATTCTTGTATTATGTATATGCTTTGGTCGATGTATTAAATGAAGAAATGTCAACAATAGCAGTTAGTATTGTTTCTTGGTTTATGCGTCAGACTGAACACAGGGAGTGAAAAGACAGGAGTAAGCTGGACCACCAGTGAGAAGACTCTAGAAGATCTGGACTTCGCAGATGATTTATGTCTATTCTGACACAAACTCGACTTGCAGGCGAAAACCAACAAACTGGCTGGAGAAGCGGTGCAGAGGAGACAGGACTGACTCCAGGTAAACATAGAGAAGATGGAGGTGATGAAGAAAACCAACCAACCAACAGCAACAACAACAACCAGCACCGATCACCATCAACGACAAGGAGAGATTTAACAGAGGTTACCTCCTTCGCTTAGCTCGGAAGCATCGTTTCAACGAGAAGCGGAACGGATGGAGATGTCAAAGTCAGAAGTGGAAAGGCAAGATACGCCTTCATCAACCTGAAACCGATTTGGAAATCTCCTGCACTCAGCGCAAGGAACAAGATTCGGATTCTGTTCAACACCAATGTCAAGTCGGTCCTTCTATACGGGTCAGAAACTTGCAGTGTTTGTCACGAAAAGGATTTCCAACAGGTTGCAGACTTTCATCAAAAGCTGCCTTCGCTCCATACTCAAGATCAAATCGCAGGCCAGAAAGAATTAGTAACAAGAAACTCTGGCAATGAAAAAACCAACCAAGAGCCAATCGCTCAACAAATGTGTGGGAGAAAATGGAGATAGATTGGGCATACATTGAGGAGGCTGTCGAATGACATCGCACGCGAGGCCATTCCTCGAGTGGAATCCCAATGGGAAGCGACGAATGGGTCGTCCTAGGGTGACATGGAAGCGATCGTGTGAGGAGGAGATGAGAGATTGAGGACAATCGTGGTCGAAGCTGAATAGGATGGCAGAAGATAGGACAAAGTGGAGAAGTATTGTTGAAGCCCTATGTTCCACTCGGAACGCAAGGGAAGTAATAATAATTGTTTCTTGGTTAATTATGAAGTATTAATGAAAACAAAACACGTAGATCAGCGAAGAGTCTCTTTTTCGGCGAATTCATCTTCTTAGCTGTACAATCGCAAATATATATGCATTGTTTTGTTTGTATGTGTACATTAAGTTTGTCAAACAAAGTTACAATTGGTTAAGGTTAATTTTAACTAAACAAGTGAAGGTTGGTAATACAGGTCAAGAAAACTAGGGTAGTAACAAAGGTGATGAGATGTCAGAAACAGTTGTAATAATAATAGTGAGTTTTACTCAGGATGCACATAGAAACAAAGTAGAAATTATGTAAGAGATCTAAGTGGATACAAGAATTACAATTGCTTAAGGTTATTTTAACTAAACAGGTAAAGGTTGGTAATATAAGTCAAGGCAATTAAGTGCTAGGATAGTAACAAAAGTGATGAGTTGTCACAATCAGTTGTTAAAAGAAGTTATGCAATAATAATATGAATATTTTGATGAGTGAGTTTTACTCAGGATGCACATAGAAACAAAGTAGATAATACGAAACTATGTAAGAGATCTAAGTGAATACAAGAATTATAAGCAACTAAGGAACAGGCAAAGAAACAAAGTTAAGTTATCAGAATAAAATAAAATAAAAATCAAAAAATCAAAACATTGTTACCATGAGAGTAGAAGTGGTTGAGTAATCTTCTTTTGTATGCACAGCTCCGGTTTTTCCAAGTGAATGGCTAGAGCTTCAGCGATACAGAGGAGACGAAACCGTATTGCCTTTGATAGGTTGTTCTTGACTCTGTAGATTACTCTGAAGGAGGTGTTCGTTGAAATGCAATGATCAGTGCTGACCAGGTGTTCAATTATCGCACTCCTTATTGCACCAGTATTGCCTTTTCGCAACCATGCTGGATAGTGTTCTTGAATCCTCTTGGACAGGATGCGCGTCGAACGACCGATGTACCTGGCTCCACAGCAGCAGGTGAACTGGTATATGCGCATAGAAGCGGTAGTCAGGTTCTCTGTAAGAATATAAGAATTTAGCGGCTAAGGTTAGAATGATTGACCCCGCGAAGACAGAAAGTCAGGCATTGCACTGCATTCGTTAACACACAACTACACAGCAGTGTGAGACAGAAATGAAATTCGAAAATGTAATTTAGGTAGGTGGGTGGAGAGCGAGCGAGCGAGGTTGATAACTGAGTCTTTGCTCATAGAATCCACACTTAACACATGCAATATGAACGACTCATCAATCATACCGGAAATATAGAAAATACTACTACTAATCAAGTGAAGCGATGAAAAATAATGATGGAATTATATAAACGAAGTTAGAAAGTTGTGTGAGTAGTGTCTTGATATGATTATGAGCTGCAGTAATAAGTTGTGCTCGAAAGGTGGATCATCAGTAAATATTACTGTATAACACTCTGTGGGACTTTATCAAGACAAATTTTAACCATAATGGAGAATGAAATTTAACCCCGGCTTCCTTTGGTAACCAAAATTGTTCTATTCACAATGGGATGATCCACTTGATTCTATGAATGACAACCAAGTGATTTCCTAAATATTCATATTGTTTACTTCCATGTTAGATATATATATAGTTGGTATTATATGAAACACCGTATTATTATATTGTTGTTCCCCTTGGTTCCGAGTGGAACGTAGGTGAGGTTTCAACAGCTCATCTCCATTTTATCCTGTCCTCTGCAAACCTCTTTAGCTGGCCACACGATTACCAATAGTCCCTTATCTTCTCCTTGCGCGATCGGCTGGAAGTATATAGAAGAGTTTGAATTCAGTGAGCGCAAATCTGTAGTTATTTTAACGCCAGGAGAAAAGAGAATTTGATAATGAAATTATTTATTGGCAAATAGATACACAGATATAGGCAAAACACGTCTATCCTATATATATATATATACATATATATATATATATATATATACTACTTATCACACGCCACAATCTGGTTTTTCCCTTACTAAAATCAAGAATGGGTCCTTTTTTTGTAAAAATACTTTCTGCAATCGGAGTGCATTTAGTGTGTTTATTAGAATGTATTTTCAAATTAACTGATTTAAACAACATTACAGTTCTAGTTATTTGTCCCGCGCATTTAATTTCAACTCATTACTTTGGGTGCTTACACTTCAGTTTGATCTCTGCCTACAAATTTGAAACCTACATCATGTACCACCAGGCTAATGAACCACAGGGATTTTGTCAGAGCTTGTGATAGTATCGATTTTTCCAGGCTGAATTAGACGGGACCGGAAATGAACCCGGGATGTATAGACACAAAGTTCAGTACTTAAACTGATGAGTTCATCATCGCCATCTACACAACATTGTAATTCATTGAATGATTTCAAACAAATAACCGAACCGTGTAACGTTTTTGTTGACTTGTAATGGTATGAATGATAGTATTTCTCTCAGAAATAGAATGAAGCTCATTCATTTATTATTCATGGTTATGGTAATCAATTTAATTTGATTGATAACAATGTCGTTGGCAGTGAATTTTGACCAGTAAACAGATATTTTTATCCACTCGTTTTTACATAAGAGGTTTGTAGGTAATTAATGGCATATATGCTAAATCTGCGCTTCATGCTTATTAACATTTATCAAGAAATTATAGTTACCAATTTTTAGCATGCATGTTCCTTTGTTTGAAACTCGTATTTGTATTACTCTGTCACCGTGAAGTTATGTACACTTAAACGAGTATAAGTGGGATGGGCAGAATATTTCACAAATTTTTCTTAGATGTAAAACAGGATAGGTCAACATCTGCATTAGGAAACGCATTTGTATTATTCATGCAGAATTCAAAACAGTCATTTCACATCGAAGTTAAGGCGTAAAATGTTGTCTAGAGAAGGATAATAAAAGTTTTGAAGTTAAATTATCCAGCTGAAATAACATCAACAACAACACTACAGAAACCAAAACCTTTTTAGACTTTATCATTTAATGCGTTGACCGATAACACTTATCTAGTTACAATAATAGGTAAATAAAGTAACGTTAATGGGGAAACTGTATGTCTTTTTCCTAGTTTTCTTTCTCACTGAAAATTTTATTGGGGTTTTACAAATATGAATAATTCTAAATCAATAAAAACTGGCGCGGAATTATGCTCCTGTTCACCCCAAGCAAAATATTAGGCCGTACCATCCTGCAGAGACTTAAAATGTGTTGGATGCAGAACTCCTCCTGTAACAAGGTGGATTCAAGAAAGGCAAATCATATGCGGATCAAAGTGCAACGCTACGCACCACCATCTAACAGAGCATAGAATGGAAGTCAAATCTCTACATTAACCTCGATTTTGAAAAGGCTTTCGACAGTGTTGACAGTGAAGTGACTTGGAAACTGTTCCAATACTACGGGGTGCCCCAAATCTTTATCATCTTTATTCAACGGTTATATGATATCTCATGTCAAGTGATTCACAACGGAAATTTCAGCGAAGTCTTTGCAGTGAAGATGGGAGTCAGACAAGGCTGCCTACTATCACCGATGATATTCCTGGATTTCGCAGGTGGATGATTCATGTCTAATATTTCGCAAACTTGAAAACCAACAAGGGCTGTCAGCGAAGACGGGGAATTCAAGCGAAAATAGAGAGGACAGAGGTGATAAAGGCACCACTGCTACCACCAACGGAAGGAATTTTAAAGAAGTCTTTTCTTCCACTTATCTAGGTAGCATCGTTTCAACAACAAGTGATGGCATGGATGAAAATGTCAAAGTCAGGTGGAATGGTAAAGGCAAGACAAACCCTCAGTAGTCTGAAATCAGTTTGGAAATCTACTGCACTAAGCAGCATAAAGATCAAAATTCGAATTTACAACACCATTGTTAAGTTAGTTCTTCTATACAGTTAAGAATTTTGGCGCGTCACGAAAAGCGTTTCCAACAGGCTTTAGACTTTCATCAACAGCTGCCTTCTCTGCTTACTCAAAACCGGATAGCCAGAAAGAATTAGCAATGAATCAACCAAGAACCTATTTTCCAACAAATATGATAAAGAAAACAGGGATGAATTGGACACACTCAGAGGACCTTTGAGTGAAATGACTCACAGTGCAGTCCCTCGCACCATCCTCCTTTATGGCTGTGATAAATGGCCATCGAAAATGGAAGATATGAAAAGGCTAGTTGTCTTTGGTCATGCGTTGAATCTCCCATTTTAGGCAGTATCATATGTTGAGTAATATTGAGGTAAGGAGGGAAACGATGAGTTGGGCGCCTGAAAGTGACACGAAGGAGATCGTGCGAAGATTTGGTGGAAGCTTATGAACAATCATTGAGCCAACTGAAAATGACTGCAGAGAAAGGGATGAAATGGAAAGTAATGCTGAAGCCCTGTGTTTCACTTGGAACCTTAGGGATTAATAATAACGCGGTACTTAAGAGTAATTAATGGAAAATCAAATAAGATTTCAACGTATAATTTTTGTCAGTCAGGATGTGGCTTAGAGTGGCCAAAGTGTTCGACATGCACCTAGTATGTCTTGGGTTAAAATCTTTCATCTACATCATCCCGAACTAGATTGTAGCGTTATAAACTCTTACACCCTAATGGTAACTCAGAGCCTAGTACATCTAACAGGCAAATGAGTTTTGTCATACATTTGTTGCTACTACAAGTGGAGTCGTGTTCTTTTAATCCAACTACTGGGTTACAGGTTCGAATCCGATCCATCTGCTGACGTTAGAGAAGCTAGGTAGAGTAGCACTTACCCTCAGACAATATGTTTTCGTGTCACTGTATGGTGTTTATCACAAGTCGTTTTGTGTAAAGTAGTATTAGTAGTAGTGAGCATACCTTCTGTTTCGTACAATGAGTGAGTTGCCAACGGTTTTGGTGTGGATAACTACTTATCGCCAATATGCAGTTAGTATCTTAAAAATATTCATCATCATATCTATTTTTATACCCTTATTTGCATTTATATTTTAGGTTTAAGAAATCGATTTGAAGAATATCCTAAACTGCGTGAATTAATTCGACTAAAAGATCAGTATATTCAATCAAAAGCTACCCCACCTATGTATTTATGCGCTGATCTAAGAACCTTTGATTTAAATGAACTGGACTCAAAGTTTGATGTTATACTTATTGAGCCTCCGTTAGAAGAATATCATCGAATGAATGGTGCTGTATTCGATCAGTATTGGAGTTGGGATGAAGTTAGTTTGTTTTATAATCAAGAATTTCTATTATTGTTATCACAATTGTTTCGGTTTATAATAAACTTCTACATATTAAGTTATCATCGTAAACCTAAATTACTACTGTATAGAAGCCTGAAAGGTAATCTTACTTCAACAGTTATTGACGTTGTTGCTTCATTGTGTATTGTTGTACGTTGATTTGGTTTTTAGTCGTGTTTTTATTCTTATTTATTTTATTCCTTGACGTTTCTACTGAAACAAAGGGCTCCAAGCTAGAGCTTTGAAGTTCCCGTAGCAGTGATTTTTTTTTACGGAGTGGGGTCTCTAGTCTCATATCCAACCTTCCCTCTTTACTGGACTTACCACCGGCTTAGCGAGGTTTAGGAGTGCGTGTCTGGAGGTCGAACCTGGGACCACGTGTGAGATTGGGGAGTGCTCTACCACTGAACCACTGATGCACTCAATCATGTATATGCTTATTACTAAGCAGTTGGAGATAATTGTCCACACAAAAAATGTCTAGGCAGTAAACTACAATACTGTGTTGAATATCTGGAATTCAGAAATGCAAAGACCAGTACTATCTGGTCTTTCGACTACTGATCTAATATTAGTACTATTTTGAAATACCACCTGTATTTGTGCTAAGTTTGTATAATTACACGGCGAATCTATTCTTATTTGTCATGATATTTCAGCTGTCTCTACCATAACATTCAAAAATCCTAGTAGTCAAGAGAAACTCACCGTAGACGCTTTTAAGAGCAAAGTGGATAAAGCTCTCCAACTATCATAATTCGATAGTTTTTGTTAGTTCTTCAAGGATTTTTAAATGGAGTCTTTCTGAATCAGTTCTTTTACATAATCCTTAGTAGCATACTAACCAAAAATAGTCGCTAATGTCATAGCCTCTATGACAGTGTTAGAAAATCTACTAGCGGTGATCAGGGACTCATTAAATTAAAAAAAGAGTAATGATAGTATCTACCTGTGGATTCAGGCAGGAGCACCGTAAGTCAGCAGTAGTTGATGCTCCGCAATAGTGTGATGTGTGCGTCGGTGGCACAGCAGTTAGGACGCTCGCCGACCATGCACATGGTTCGGGGTTCGATCCTCGGCCGACGCATTTCTTTACCTCGGTAATCCGGTAATAAGACTTGTAAAGAGGGAAGGTTGGGCATGAGGCTAGCAACCCCATCCTTTAAAAATAAACACCACTGCTACCGAAACTTCAAGCTTGAGGCCCTATGTTCCACTGGGAACGTGTAGGAATATAAAAAAAGTAGTGTGATGTATAGCAATAGAACATCGTACTGAAGCGTATGATTTCAGTAAACATCTTGAGTGTCAGGATAGATGTCAAATTGTCTATCTCTGTCTATGTGTCTTTTGGAGCGCCATCGATACATAGTTCGTAAACAGTGCCGCAGATATTGACATTAAACTAATTAAAGGAAGTATTTCTTCAGCAAACTGTGGAGGTGTTGTCCATTGGTTTAGGTATTTGACTATTAGCCAGTGGGTTCCAGGCTTGAGCCCCTCCCCATCTGTTTCAGTCCGGGCAACTAGGTAGTATCGTCAAACCTCCCTCAATAAATGTGGCTCATAGCCTGGTACATTAGTGATCTCCTCTAGGGAATTGATTTTTTACAATAACTCTTAAACAAGCTACAGTTTACTTCATCGGCAATGCTAAAATCGATACGGAATCTACTGAATAACTTTATTTGTTAAATGAGGTGAATGTTAGAGGCACTTAATCTGTATAAATGTTTTTAGTCTTTAGCACTTACTAGGATTCACTATTTAGACTTAAGGTTTTTTATTTGTGTAGCCATTTCTCTCCAATTCTCGTCCATCACCTTGTTTTACTGTTTTCTATGTAGAAATTTCTCATGGTATCTAGCTAAATGTCACCAACAGTGTTAACGACAGTGTTTTATAAGCAGAGTTTGTGCTTCTCACTTGAAGTTTAAATAATTCGACGTGACTTTGATCTTCTAGACAGTATTTTTATTTTATTCGTTTACGTTCCCAGTGGAGCATAGAGCTTCAAGCTAGAGCTTTACAGTTTCAGTAGCAGTGGTATTTATTTCTACGGAGTGGGGTTGCTAGCCTGATGTCCAACCTTCCCTCTTTACCAGTCTTATTACTGGCTTGGCGAGGTGAAGGAGTGCGTCCGTGGCTGGGGATAGAACCCAGAACCACCTGCGTGGTTGGCGAGCAGTTTACCACTGTGCCACCGACTCACCTTCTAGACAGTAGCTTCGTAAAACTAAGTTTATTTATTGTTGTCATTATTAAAACACAAATTTGGTGCATTATTGGTACCAGAAGATGTGCCACACAAAGTCACGTAGTTGGTGCGAGGGCTGAGATACTTCCCGGACGCCCAGATAAAACCAAGTGGTTGTCTTAAGGGCCACCTCCTTAATCCACAAGACAGTGAGGCAGCGTCCTGAAGCTGCATTCCAATGGTTGTTAGTGACCGAAACAGATTCATACGTCATTCAATCCTTTCGGCTTATGGAGCCAATATACACTATAGGTTTGAAATCAGGGTAATCCATCCCCCCTTCGGTAGACCAGCTTGTCCACCAATCCGGCTTTAAGCGCCAGACTTCCTCATTCATCTTTTCACTTTTGTAAGAAACACCCATGCAGCGTGAATAGGACTTACCTGGCAGAGGCTATGAACACATGGATGTCTACATGGGAGCATTTTAAGAGGAAGACCGAATCGCCCCTTCTCTCGGCCGTACCAGGTTGTTTACGCGGGGAAAACTACAAAGAATGTTCATTAGTTTTATGCTTCTAGACTTTCGTAATCTCTTAAGTTGTAGGTTTATTATAAAAAGTTAGTCAATTTTTCTTGTGTGTGCAACTTAGTCCTATCAATGATAGATTAAGAAGTGAAAATATTTCTTTCCCGTAGTAAACTTGAAACCATAAACAATTGTAAAAAATGCTGTATTTAGTGAATTCATAAATTTCGGTGGAAGGACTCCTCATCTGAATACTCCTTTACAAACACTGTTATTTGTAAGATTTTTTCAAGGCTTTACCTTGATAACTGCAGTTCTCTTCATTTCCTTGTGAAGTCTGACCACAAGCTTACTGTTCATCCTACTAATTTTTAATATAATATAAGAAAAATATCCCCATTTAGACATTTAGAAAGCAAAAGGATTGAGCGAAGAAATACTTACTTTTCAGTTAGATCCTTATCTCTGGCTCTACTCTAATATATATAGCATTTTTATTACAATACACAACAATTTACCAATTAAGTGGCGATATGTTTGTCAACAATAACTAGTCAGTATCAATATGTCAATGGAAAGTTCCATTTCCTTGACATTGCCATGCAACGACTAGAGGGTAGTAGTCTCCAGAAGTCAATTTACCGAAAGCCTACGTGAAAACGACAATACCTACATTTTAATGGTTTTTGTCTAGATAGCTTTAAACGAGGACTAGCCATGACTCTGTGATATAGAGCTAAGAGTTTATGCTCTATGGAGAAATTAGAGAAATAATTTGTTATCCTCAAAAAGATGTTGGAAAGCAACGGTTACCCTCAAAGGTTCATTGACAACAGAAAGAAGCGCATACCTACAATTTTATGAACATTTACCGAAAAGCCTACGTCTGAAGGGAACAAATGCTTTGAACAGTGCCATCGCTAGACATCTCCTTGATACGGGTCATAAGGTGGACGTTGCAGGATCGTTCAAAATTATCAATAGACAAAAGAGTTTAATTCTGCTTAAGTTTGCCGAAGCAATCTCCATTAAGCGCCTGAAACCCGATTTATACGTTCAGAAAGAAGCGGTTATCAGTCTTTCCTTGCCCTGTCTGTTAACTGGATATTTTCACCCTCTCTTTCATCTCATTACGTAATGTCCAAAGTTTCCATTGTGTATGGTCATTATTATTCAGGATAGTGTTTATATATATATAATTTGATATTAGATGGTTGAAGGCAATCGGCAGGAAGCCTTGGACCTAGGTTTCGTGCTAGTTGGCACTCATCAGTCAGCAGGGCATATCTGCAACCTTGAAGGAACTCATGTCTCTTCTGCGATTCGAACCCGCATCACCCAGCGCTGCAGTCAGAGACGTTACCACTGAGCTGTTTGGGCTCGCGATTGCCCTCAACTATCTAATATCAAAAATTCAAATTGCATTGTGATGGTGAGTGGGACACTCACTCACAATTTACTGGATGGACCAGTGAGAATCATGGACCACCGATGACATTGGTTGGTGGTCGCGCTAAATCACGAATTGGTAGAAGTTAGAATTCTTGACCTGGTCATTGAATCGGGTACCAGTGGCTTAATGGTATACAAGCTTGTCTTATAACCGGAAGGTCCTGGGTTCGAACCATGGTGGTGGGTGCGTACTGCCGGTTCCCAAACTAGGATGAAACAGCTGTCCAGTACTCCCAGGTTTTCAATGGTTCCCTAACTGATTTCAATCCGTGGTGAAACTCGAAAAACAAATCTAATCCTTACAAACCAACTCTGGAAATGATAATATTTGCTAATTTCTTGCGGGAATCCAAGTGTCTATCTACAATAGTATTAACGAGTTGGTTTAACAACACCCCACTCACCCTACTGATGGCTTTTAGCACCTCACGCAGTATAACAAACAAAATCTTTTTTAAGCAGCCCGGGAAAGATTATGCTGGGGGAACAGTAAAGAAGTATAGGCAGAATACAAGAATTAAGAAACGGTAACAGTAGAGACGGAATGATACCAGATCGTCTTAACTTCCTTACATAGAACGTCAAACGAAATATCTTTCTGGAAACTAACATGATATGGGAAGAAAAGGAAAGATCAGAGGAAATACACAGTCCAAGGTATGTAACATTTGATTTGGTTTCAACTTCAGTGCCATCTATGATAGTGGAACCGTGCGGACTAACCAGTTCATGTAAGTCGCACTTGCGTGTCTGTAGGTGGAATTAACCATCTGACATTTGTCTTTATATCAGTTTATTTAAAGATTTTAAAATGTATTAATTTTTTTTGTATGACCACTTATACTTCTACTACTATTACACATTGGTGATCAATGCAGATTGAACGTTTGCAAATTGAACAAATAGCTGCTCCACGTGCATTTGTTTGGATCTGGTGTGGCTCTGGTGAAGGTTTAGATGCTGCTCGTAGGGTAAGCATTACATTTGAGTACTCTATTCATTCTTGAGGTTTTAAACTTGTAAATCACCATACACAGCCTTTTTAAAAAAATATTTAATCTAACGACCAACCTTTTGTTTTGTCAGTTCACTAGCTGTATGTTCTCTGCAAATATTTTGAGCTTTATGTATCATTTTCACAGAGTTTCAAAGTAAGAAAAAAACAGTTTAATATCACTGATTTTGTAAAAGTCATCAGTTATAGAATTTGACATTCTTATTTGCTTGTTAAAAATTACCTACCTAACTCAATGAATCACAGTTCTTATAGAATCAGAAACAGTTGGATGAAATGGGGGCTGTGTGTCATCACTTTCTGATGTGTTTAAATGCCAGTACCCTGAGCAGATCTTTCATGTATCTGGTTATCGGTCATGCAGTTATTGTGTGTGTGTGTGTGTGTGAAGGCTGCAATGATACTACTATCCAGTTAGTTGCCTAGGCATTGAAGTAGGTCAAAAGGAAGCCTTTTTGGTTGTAAATCAATTGCCTAATCCATTGATCCAGATCAGGATCAAGAGTTTCCAAAAGTACATCTGTAGGATATTCCAAACTTTTAATGTTAATAAGATCTGTGACATTTGGAATTGAAGGTAATAAATTTGTCTAGTTACAGTCTATAACTTAATTTTGGAGGTAAAGGATTAGTGTTTCTCAATTTAAAGGCCTTTGTTTATCCCATTATCATTAATTAAAACTTTTTCCAATAGTGTAACGGTAGAAGACGAGAGACTTGGTACAGGAATGTTTATTTGGGATTTGGTATCGCTATTATATAACGAGACTATATACACCTTATCTTCAAATTACCATTTGCATAGATCTTCCGTGTTGTGTTTCTTTGTGTTCCTTTCACATCTCTCATGTTTCTCTGCACCTCTGAATCATTCGCTTTCTCTTACGTTCAAATGTGTCTCCCTGCTATTTGATGTTTTCATGCTGACGAATGTCTCTATATACTACTGATAAGTCATGTCAGTTGCGCACGCCACAGTGTCACGTGATTAAATCTATCTAATAATGATAATATTCACAATAATATTAATAATAATCACAGCTGGTACTTTTGGCTGTTGGGTAAGATGCCACTGACCAATGAACTGTTATTGCAGTTAGAGTGGGAACAGAAGACAATGAAAAGCCTTCATATTCATCTTATAACGTAATAATAATAATAATAATAATAATAATAATTTTCACCCTACTAATGACAATAATTGTGAGTTCAGTCTTCGTAAGCATCTAAAGTATCTACAAAACTAAATGTAGTGAAATAAAAATGAAACGTCGGTCAAGTGATTTTAGTATTTCTTTCAAATTGGCAAATATATATATATGTATATATATATGTATATATATATATATATATATATATATAGGGGGAGAGAGAGAGAGAATCACGAAACTCATGTCATTGTTATATCAATAATGCAATCATTAAAAAGAGATCAAAATATTTTTGAAGTTGTATTGTACAGTGCGTCGGGAGATTGACCGTGAGGCTAGCAAACCAACTGGGTTGAAAATAAACACCACTGTTAAAGAGACTTCAAAGCTCAAGCAAGCTTGAAACCCTCCCCATATTTGTGCCACTTGAAACGCAAAGAAATAAAATGAATAGTACAAAAAATAAAGAAGACAGATAATCAAAGTCATCAAGTGGATAAGAGACATGCCTTCATAATTATTTGGTAGTAACTTTCGAATAGAATTCAAATTTGCCTTTTATACATAGCCAAGAGTATGAGAATTCGGAAGACTTACTCCAGTTTGTGGATTTAGATAAAACAGTTTGTTTACATTTATCTCTCTTTGTGACTATTTCGTTTTTGTACAATGCTTTCGTTTAAACTTTGTTAAGGCGTACACTTTAAACAATATCCTTTTTAAAAAAATTGTTTATTTGCTTTAACAGTGTTTACGTAAATGGGGATTTCGTCGTTGTGAGGATATCTGTTGGATTAAAACAAATATAAATAATCCAGGACATGAAACGCTTGAACCGAATGCTGTATTTCAGCGTACAAAAGAACATTGTTTAATGGGTATACACGGAACGGTTAGACGATCAACAGACGGTGATTTTATTCATGCTAATATAGATATTGATTTGATTATTGAAGAAGCTCCACCACAGGGGAGTTATGCTGCTAAAGATAAACCAACTGAAATATTTCATATTATTGAACATTTTTGTCTGGGTCGACGAAGATTACATTTATTCGGTCGAGATAGTACACTGAGACCTGTAAGTGAAACTTGTCTTGACTTTATGACGGTTTTACACTGTTTATGACAGACTGTGATACATAATTTTTTTGTAGAAGAAAATCCTTTTGAAAAAAAGATTGTTTCATTCAATCAGATTGAAGAAAGCAGCTCATTTCCAGTTGTTATTTGTAGTTAAGTCATTGTGCCACTGATAGCTGATACCATGACGTGGCGATTGGGTTTGCATATCACAATAACTCAACAAGCTACACTGACTGGAACTGATGTTCACGCAGGTTCTATGATGCCAGAAAGGTTGTTAGGATAACGATTAGACCAAAAGAAGTTACCGGAATAGTGAAAGATGTTTACACTATACTTGGTGTCTTTGGGTAAAGTCATATTGCTGGGTAGCGGAGATGTAACAGCAGCAAGATATTTCCTTTAGATAACTAGCATTCCAGCTGTACTGCCTCTCGGCTCCGGCGACGGGGAGGTTAGTAAAGGTCAACCCTACTTAACCTACGGTGGTTCGTAGCCGGTGGTAAGTTACTAATACAGAGACGACTCTAAAAACCAATTCAAAGAGGCTGTGTGTAACTGGTCTTAAGCAGTTGTCCCCTGGGCTATGCAGTCACGCGCAACACCAATTCTCTTTCTGTTTCAGGTACCCCAAGAAAGAATCAACTTCCACAGTGTCAGTAGCCCGTAAACAACAACCGTCCACACACTTCCAAAAGCATACGAAGCTGAAAGTTGTTGACATGAATAACTAGTTTTTGAAGTCGTGTTATTATTAAAGGATGTTTCATCCATTATGATTAATTGGGTGGTGACTTCTATGCACGGTGGAGGAGATTTTCAGCTCACATTTGAAATATTAATAATAATTGTCTGGTTTTTCTACATTTTGATACTTGAAATTTCACCGACAGACTTTGATGTCTGCGTAAAATCTGGTTCTATTTTTATAATTGTTGTTTAGTAATATTAATAACGGAATATTATATGTGTGATTCCTGAATCGGATGAAATTGCATACTTTTGTGGGAACTTATCATATAACAAAATACTAATCCATCTATGCACTAGGTTTAGAGATAAAAATGCTGTTCATCGGGTTAAGCTTAAATTCGATATTCAGCTAATAACTCCGCCTGATGTACTTCAGCATCAGCTCTCATATAATAAAAATGTGGCTCATAACCTAATATCAATGGAAATATCATCCGGATGGCCGATTTCTAATAGGCCTGGTTTATAATTCTTTTTCAACTGAATACATTTCCCGATTATATAAGTTATTCTCCGATTCTATTTTCATTGTTAAAGCGCAGTTGTCAAATGACATTAGTTAGTTGGATTTACTATTATTACTTCGTTAGTGTTGATTCTTGACTGACTCACTCCTAAATCTCTCCTAGTTTACTAACCGGTTGTAATCACAGAAGGAAAGGGGAAAGGGTTGAACGTGAGGCTACCGACCCCAAGCTGTAAGAAAGCAACACTACTGCTGATAAAGCGCTTCATAAGCTTGATATCCTTTGTTCCACTTTGAGTGAAAAAAATGTACATGTTATAGTGCATGAGTATTCCGTTGATTGTATTAACGTTCACTCTAAATAATGAGCAATAACTGGAGTAAGATTCTATATGATCAAGTGACGAGTATACGCATGGAAGCGTTTTCAAGCGTCTCCATCCACTCATTAGTGATACTTTCTAACCACCGTTAATTAAATAACTGTCAATAAAGACAGTATCTAGTTGCTGAAAGTAGACTCAGTGGAACGATGTAGACCATTCAAGAATGTCACTTAGTTGGTGGTGGCTACCTACCAGTGAAATTCAGGACTCGAGCTTCTTCCGATGTGAAACTCGCCAATTGGATGTATCTGTATTCTAAATAAGTGATGGATGCGCCCACTGAGGTAAGGTTTAGGACACCTGTTGCATTTCAGCGAAGAAATATTTATTTCCAAGCTGTTGTACTAAATTTTCTCATTGATTAAAGATGCCCATTTGAAATTTTAAAAGATTGATTACTGAAGAAAGAATATGCTTTTGGATAACCTCTTCTTCATAAGGCTCTGCAGTTATATATCCATCCATAATGATTAAAGAATGATTGTCATTGACAACATTATTGGTTTTTAAAGATTAACATTGAGAAGTCGTGACCAGTAGGGTGCAGCAGGTTGGATGTGAGAACAAATACTCGGCGAATATATTGGCTAGTGGTCGCGCTATGTCGTGAATTGGCAGAAGTTAGAATTCGTGGGCCATTGGATCGGGTCCCAGTGGCTTAATGGTCTATGAGCTCGCCTTGTAACCAGAAGGTCCTTGGTTCGAACCCCGGTGGGTGCGTACTGTTGAAGAATCCCAAACCAGGATGCGGAACAGCTGTCCAGTACTCCTGGGTTTTCCGATGGTTCTCTAACTGATGTCAGCTCATGATGAAATCCTGTAACATTGAATCATTTAGATCAGAATTCCAATAGTTATTTGCAATTAGATTGTTAATAGTTTATAGTCCAAAATATATCTTTATGTGGTAATATGCGTAATTGTACGTATAATACTAAATTGAACACCAATATTACAAAGTAAATGATTACGAATGACAACGAATGCACTGTGGTAATGAATTCTCATGAGTCATGTTCTTATTAAGTTCTATTCATATTGATTTTAAACTTCAAATGGTTGAATAATCATCTGAAAGACGGGGGTAGAGAAAACATTATAAACAATACTTAAAGAATCTTTAAAGGGGACATTCGCTAATAATGAATAAACATCGAAACTTGCCATTACTTCATCTTCTCTTCAATATAAGTCGTGTTGATTTTTCTCTTAAATTCATACGAATTCTTCACTCTATATTCCACTTTCATTTCACATTGACTTAGTATTCGATAAATGTATTTAGAGTTTGTAGGTTGGGGAATTAGTAAACTCTCACATTTCATGCAAATATGTTTGTTTATTGTATTGCGTCGGTGGCATAGTGGTTAGGACTCTCGCCGACCATGCACATGGTCCGGGGTTCGATCCCCTGCCGGCGCACACCCGATATCTATGGTATGCCTGAATTTGGGCAACCGATATCCATGCTGAAAATTCCACACTTGTACTGAAAATACGGTGTGGAAATCAAGCTGTAAATCAAAAAAAAAAATAAATAAAAAAAAATTTTGATGCCTGTTTCATGACTCATATAATTGGACTAAGTTTTTAAAGGTAAGAAATGTCCCTTTTATATATAAACCTCTGTTATTTTAATTTCGATTGAATTCCCTGCGGAAGTTCGGACCAGTTTGCCGAACAAAACGTTGGAATTACTCATTTCAATTTCCCTGAGATTTTACAAATATAATTTTTACATATGTGTACTTCTCACTCGGTGCCCAATTATTTTGGAACTACTCGGTCAAATGGTGATCGCAGTTCATATGAATAACCTTTTGTTTTCTTATTTAAACATAGTGACTAATTTACACACTGCTGGTACACACATATACACGCATATTACCTTCCATCTCGTTTTTCTCCCGATTTTGAGATTATCATTCATCCTTATGAAGTTTATAATCAATATGAATAGAATTTAATATGAATATAACTCAGATGCCATTGTACTGTAATCTATTCATATTATTGATTGATTCGATGTTATTTAAACAGCATTAATGTTGTTAATTATCCCAAATTCTTTCAGTATTATGCATGCACATATAACTGTAGAACCTAATGAAGGGCAGGTTATCAAAAAGAATATTCTTTGTTCAGTAATCAATCTTTTAAAATTTCTAAGTCAGAATCTTTAGCACGTAGGTATTGCGGTGACGATTAAAGCCTGGGATGACAACTAGATTGCGATTGGATACCGGTTTAACAGTTGAAATGAAATTAAGGTGTGGTCAGCAGTTGGTTTTATTCTTTCAATAGTGATACAACCATCACTTTGTCGTATGAGAGTGCTATTAGTAGTAAAGGCTTTTTTTGTACTTTAAAACTAAATCTAAGCATTTTTTTTAATTTTTAGGGTTGGTTAACTGTCGGTAATGAACTGTCTGCATCAAATTATGATCCTCGTATATATGCAAATAATTTTAATAAAGAACCAAATGGTTTATTCCTTGGATCAACTGAAGAAATTGAACGATTACGTCCAAAATCTCCACCACCACGTCATCCAAATCCTAACACGGCTCCTAGTGGTAGTGGTACACCTAGTACTATTTGTCCGATTTCAGAGGTTACGCCTACACCAATTTGTCCTAACCCTATTTTACCACCTACTGGACATATATCACGTTCAATATCGTCTATATGCTCACTTGGTAATTCTGTTGTATCAAATATTAGTTCACTTTCTGGAGTACCATGTAAGTTTATTTCAGCGTGTATTGAGTAGTTTTCTTTATGTGTAATTGAAGCATATAACCATTATCATTGGTTAGCACATTCAAATTTTGTTTTGCACAGTTCGACTAGTCTGATCTTTCTCTTTTTTGATCAAAGATGCTTACTAAACAATTTCGAAAGAATGAGTTTAGTGAACAAAGAATATTCTTTTCGATAACATCTTCATCAGGTTGTACAGTTTTATGTTCATAATAGTTAAAGAATTATTCAAGTATTGGTTTGTAAGGATTTGATTGATTGGTTACAGGATTTCATCATGAACTAACATCGGTTTGAGGACCATTGGACAACCTGGGAGTTTTGGATGGCTGTTTCACCCTAGTTTGGGACTTTTCAGTAGTACGCACCCACTGAGGTTCTAACCCAGGACCTTCTGGTTACAAGGCGAGCGAGCTCCTAAACCATTAAGTCAGTCAGTGGATCCTGACCCAATGGCCAGCCCATGAATTCCAACTTCTGCCGCGACATAAGGTGATCAATAACGAATGTCGTCGGTGGCGAGTATTTGTCCTCGCACCCGACCTGTTGTACCCCACTGGTCGTGACTTCCAAGAAGTTGGAATTCATAGACCATTGGATAGGATCCCAGTGGCTTAGTGGTCTACAAGCTAGCTCACCTTGTAACCAGAAGGTCTTGGGTTCGAACCTTAGTGGGTGCGTACTGCCGATAGGTCCCAAATCAGGACGCGGAACAGCTGTCCAGTACTCCCTGCAGGTTTCCCAGTGGTCCTCAAACCGATGTCTGCTCTTGATGAAGTCCTGCAACCAATCAGATCCCTGCAAACCAACACTTGAAAATTAAATTAAAATAAATAAATCATCCATCTTGGTTTTAGGAGAAATTCCTTATAAACACTTGAAAATAGTATACTGAATTCGCTTATTTCATGAAAGATTGTTACGTACAGTCAGTATTCTAGACTGAAGAAGAATTCGAAGCCGAAAAATTACAAAACTTCTAGGAAATCCTCAGTTCCAATTGTGGATGTTTGTCTTACTCCTGTGTGTACTTCAAACGCCTCACTGAGGTTTTGGTTGTAGATCACCTGACATATGGCATTGCCATATAGCCATCTGTTGATTGAGGTTGATAAAGATTTGGGTACTGTACGCCTTAGTGTTGAGGTAGTTTCCAAATTACTTCTCGGTCAACGCTTTCTGATGAAGGCCTTTTCGAAGTCAATTAAGTTGCGGTAGAGACAGGTTTGACTGTCATTCTATGCTTTGTTCTGTGATGACGATGTGTAGAGATGCAATTTGATCAGCACATGATTTACCTTTCCCGAATCTAGCTTGTTCCGGTGGGTGGCGAAGTCCTGTATCCTTTATCAATAATAGATGTGTTTTTTTGTCCTAATTACTCCAACAAATCTTTTAGTTATACTATAAAAGAACTTATTGGACAATAATTCTCTTTGTTTAAAAATCTAGACGTCTACTGTATCAGGTACCATTTTTGAATTGTATTGCGCACTGACATCATTTAGAAGAAGAACTTCATTGAAAACCAAAATGTACTAGACAACTGTTTCGTCCTAGTTTGAGACTCCTCAGCAATGCACACTCATGACTCTACTAGGAAGTGATCTTAGGATATTTGGGTTCAGTAGTCAACCAGCTGTAAACATTCAGCCATTTTATGTATAACGCAACCATACTCATGAAAATAAACACTTGAAAATTAATTTAATGTTCACTACAGGTTAGAGACCTAGTGAAAAGTCATGACCGGTGGTGGGTATTTTCAGAAGAGATACTAGCCAATGACACTGACTAAGGAATTGGTAAAAGCTAGAATTCAAATCCAGTGACTGAATATTTGAGGAGCTTTCATCGTAAGTTCAAGTTCAGGGTTTATATCACCAGTTTGACCAACGGTGGGTACTACTAAAAAGTGTCAAACTAAGATGAAATAGTCGTCTAATCCTTCTTGGTTTTTAATGATACTATAGGTGCTGATGTTAATTCGTGATGACTTAAAATCAATGAAATCAGTGAAAAACAACACTTGAAAATTATTATTTTCTTCAACAGTTTTGATCGTTTTGTCGTTTAGTCTAGTACATTCTGCTATGAAATTCACGCGAGAAGAGGAATTCCAAAAATTAAAATTGCCTTCCTAGATGTCCTCTTCACAAAAAAACCAGATGGTAGTATAAGGAGAAATTTTCATTGGAAAAGCACATGGACAGGACAATATACACATTTTCACAGCTTTTTTCCTCTCTAGTACAAAAGAAATTTAGTAAAGACCCTCAGCCATAGAGTTAGAGCTATATGCTCAGAAGAGGTAAGTGAAGATGAATTAAGCGTTGCATATGATACCTTGATTGAAAATAGCCATCCAGACAAATTCATCAGGAAACACATGACAAAGAAAGCGGATAAGGACTACTCACTATCCGTAAACAAGAAGCCATTATATATACAAATGCAATTCAGGGGCGATACACCTAGCAAAGTAATTACGAGGAAGTTAAGAAAATCAGTTCCAAGAACTCTTAACGTTGGCAAATTGAAACTTTTATTTTCTACACGACTGGTGGTGATTCCCCAATTGAAAGATGAAGTACCTAGACTAACCACTTCAAATTGTATCTACCAATTCAACTGTACTTGTGGAGCGAGTTATATCGGCCGTTGCTCTAGGAACTTGATCTTTCGTGCTCGCTCAGGACAGAATTGAAAAATCCTTCTCAATCATCTACTTGGTACGAAACAAATTGCGAAAAATATCCAGGTCCTTTATTTTCCAAACAGCTGAGACTATCGCGATTCGCCTTAAACAACTGATGCTCTGTGTGCAGAAAAAACAAGTTCAGCTAGCCACTACTACTGCCCTGACCGGCCTTCAGTGCAGACTGTAAATTCATGAATTCTGTATAATTATTCTTAATAAATTTCCTGATGTTTATTCAGTGTATTGTTATGTTGATGCTATCGAACTGTAGTCCATTGATATTATTAATGATTCGATGTTATTTAAACAACATTAATTTTGTTAATAACACTAATTCATTCACTATTATGGATGCATATAACTGTAGAAGCTGGTAAAGGGCAGGTTATCGAAAAGAATATTCTTTGTTCAGTGACCATTCTTTTGAAAAAAGTTTCGAAAATATCAATTCTTGCTTATGTATGCTTGCTTTCTTCTTTCTGGCTTTTTTGTTCCATAGGTGGTAGTCATTCAACACGTAGATTTGGTCCTACTAATACTGTTATAAAACAACCAGTCAACTCTACCGGCCCATTGACTAACTCTTCACTTTTAGGCCTACCAACTGCTTTGCAGAATGCATCATCTAATCGATCTTCTTCGAGTAAGTGAACTTGTTGGTTGATATATTGTTGTGATTCTTTTTTCCGTCTGTTTTATTTCCCAACTCTTGTAAAACAGTCCTGTTTATTATCATTAATGTTTTTCGTGTTTTATGAATCGTTCAGTCATATTTCCTGCTTATTGATGACCGAATAATGATGTATGGTGTTCATTTTAAACTCTATGTATGTTGCATATTACTTTTATGCTAGCTCATACGATGTTTATTTGTCGTAGGTTTCAGTGAATTTCTTTACAGGGGAACCTTTCAAGACAGTCTAAGGAAATAAATGATAAATAGTTAGTAGGGTGTGTGCGTCAGTGGCACAGCGGTAAAATGCTCGCTGACAATGCATGTGGTTCTGGGTTCTATCCCCGGCCACCGACGCACTCCTTTATCTCTCTAAGCCAGTAATAAGACTGGTAAATGGGGAAGGTCGGGCATGAGGCTAGCAACCCCATCCCGTTAAAATAAACACGACTGCCACCGAAACTTCAAGTGTCTAGTTGAAGCCCCACGTTCCGGCAGGAATGTAAAGGAATAATAATAATGATAAAAGTTAGTAGGGTGAAATTGATGCCATACATTCAGTCCTTGGTCAAGTTTTCCATTTAGTTACCAGGCTAGATGAATCTCCATAGCGGTGCACTTTATATTTGTGTTAGATGGTTGGCACCAATCGGCAGGAAGTCCTGGCTAGCCTAGGTTTAGAGCTTTTTATCATTCATCTGCAATCTCGACGGAACTTTTGTCCCCTCTGAGAGTCGTGTCCGTACTACACATTACTGGAGTCAGAGACACTACCACTGATCTATTTGAACTCACAATTGGCCTACATGACTGTAATGGATGTGATAGTCTTCTGACAAGTGCCAACAAAGCAAAACGTAGATTCCAGTCCAGGTCCTCCTGCCCATTGCCTCCAACCACCTCACAAGAGTTAGCTTCTGTTTGATTGTGTTCCCCAATATCAAGATTATCACATTTCAAACCATTAATATGATACTCGCATTCTCATTTCTGCAAAAACAGGTACACGAATTAATTTACGCACACCTTTAAATGCGCTCGCTGCCTCCAGCTCTTCGCATAGACTGACTGCATTACAGATGGCTGCAGCTGCTCATCATCAAGGCAATATTCATCCACCTAATCCACCGATATGGTCAACTCCAAATAATTTTGCAGTAGCATTGGCTGCTATGGCAGCAGCAGCTGCAACCTCTCATAACTTACCTGTTCCCTCTGCACTGAACTCTTCGAATTCAAGGAGTGCTATATCTGATTCACCTTTACTTGCTGGACTTGTCAGTGCTGGTAAACTGAATCCAACTATACTTGCAATGTTGAATACTTCAAATCCTGTCAATCCTTCAAGTCTATCATTATTGAACAGTATTCTCCGAAATGCTACTACTTCTGGAAAACATCCGAACAATAGTTCATGGCATTGAATTGATGCATTCTTATTTATTTCGATATTTTTTGGTGACTTACTGTTCATAATATGATGTGTAGTTATCGATTGTCCTTAAAACAAATGTATTTTCTTTTATATATTGATTCGGAAAAAAAGTTGTTACATTTCTTATGTCTTAACTTCTTCCTTAACCACCTTGTGTTTGACACATAAAGTTACTGCTCAACTGTCTGTCTGTCAGTTTTCAACATAGGACTTTGCACCGATGTGCAGCAGTTCAAGTCGCCACACTCCCTCCATGTACCACACAAAGCAAGAGAAGGAAGTAGAAGAAATGCATAATAGAGACAGTAGACAGGAATATGAGACAAAAGGAATAATAATATCAAAGAGCAATACAGTTTCATTGGAAATTATAAGTCACAAGGAGTGGATGCATCTGCGCCATTGAGAACGATTTCGAGTCATATCACGGATTATCTCCAGCCATTGGCTTTTACCGTCCCGAGGACCCCAACCAGGAAGTCTACACCCTCCTACGTGGCTTAAACTAACTGTTGTGGATTTCATTGACTGGTGCCATGTTTTGGTATGACCGCCGCTAGCTCTTTTCCAACCTGACCCTAAGCCAGGTAACATTGCTCGTCCAGTAAGGCGATCGATGACTAGGATAGGTATGCATATCACATGTCCTAACCACCTCTCCCAGTCGATGTAGCTTCACAACCCCGTCGATTGATTTACCCTCCAACTCACCTAGCACTTGACCAATGCCTCACCTCAATATTGCTCACTCTATTATATCACCTAACATAGGAGACACAACGCAGACAACTATGATGACAGACAGCTAGCTAGCCAGGCTTCTCATGTCTTCCACTTTCAACGGGGGACCCGGCTCATTCACAGGCATAAAGGAGGACAGAGCGAACTGCTGAGCCGTACACACGCCCTTTGGTAGACAGCCAGCCAGATATCACGTCTACGCCAGAGACGGCGTAAACTGGCATATGAAGTTTTCCAATAGTTCTCTAACTGATGTTAACTCATGATGAAATCTTAAAATCATGTCAATACGACTCACATGGTTTACTGAGTCCTTCCGTTAGTTCACTGAATTCTCATGAACAGTAAAAAATTATATTCTGACGGTACCAAACCACAAGTTAACTAGATGAAATATATGGCGCTTTCAAGGGAACATAATTTACATCAAAATTCGAAAATGCCTCAGCAATGCATTCAGGAAACTGTACAGTTCAAAGGTCCCCCTCCATTTCAGATACGTGCTGTAACATAAAATCACTTAACCAAACACAGCTTTATAATACCTCAGAGTCAACAAGAATATTCTCAACTAAATAAGACCGAAATTCTCTCTGCAATAACTAAATAGAACGTAACACATTTTCAGCAGGCAATTTAAGAGAAAGCAGCCAGCCTACGACGCAATCTTGAATTCATTCAAACAAATACACGAGCATGGAACGATATAATATTGGCAACAGTCCAAACAGTATTAGAGTGAAGCATTGAGAATAATCATAAACCAAAGACAAATAATAAGGACGATTAAGTCGAAGGTCTGTATGCTTTCCACTGTCGGGTCTTCAGATATCATGTTTGACTAACCCATTATTAATACACCTCACAAGTTGAAAAAACCCGACTACAAATGAAATTTCACGTATACAAATATGAATTTATATATACACCACGTATTCTGAAGTATATATTTGTGGGGACACGTTTTAATAAGGTGTATATCATCCACGCATTCTGAGTCAACGAGATTATTCCTTGGTAGCAAGTCAATCCCTGAGTCTCTGAAATCAGTTCGGGTTAATTCCATTAGTACATCTATAAGGAAATTAAATAGAGATAGTGGGCATCCCTGACGGACACCTCTAGTTGTCTCCACTTCAGATGACAACTCTTTGTAAGTTGTCACCTGGTTGCATGACTTCGAGTAGAGTGCCTGGATCAGTGCAAAGTATTTTCTGGGCATTCGTTTCAGAACCAAACATTGCCATAGTACCTCTCGGTCGACAGAATCGAATACCGCCTATAGGTCAAGAAAAATAACGATTGTTGGACGCCCCGCACAACTAGTCGCATATTAGGTGCATTGTCTATTTTTGTTAGGCAGCCCTTCTATGTTTACAATTTTATCGAGTTGGAATACTAAATATAATGCCGGATTGTGATACTGTGAAGAAGAAAGTACCGAGGAGCCTGGAAGGAATGTTTATTTAGTGAAAAGTATTGTACATAGGTAAATTTGGTATACCATTTTTCCAAACCGCCATTTGCACATCATTTACCACATCCTTGACGAATTGGTCGAATATCGTCACATTCGATAGCTTCTTGGATTCTGCACCATATGGCACCATTCTTCTCATAGTTCTCTTCTTTGATTTCTCTTTCTAGTGTGCAAAACATATGGTTACTTTTCTGAATTCGCTTTCTGATATACTACTTATATCGGATTATAAGTAGCACTCGCCCCTCATTATAAAGTCTCTCCTGTAACCACCATGATCGCTGCACAGACGTTCCATCCTGCTGTTCTTCAGGTTCCTCGTCCTGACATTCTTGTCTCCATCTTTGTAGCAGACTGGCGTTAACTCTTTATCTCCTCTCTTTATTGTGTACACTGGACTGCGTCTCGATGTGACCACATATGGTCCCTCCCACTTCGGCAGAAGCTTTCCTGATCCTGGTCCACTTCCGGTAGTATACTTTCGTTCTCTCACTTCAAAAAGCTTCCAAGCTTTGACTTTTTTCTTGCCAGAATTTTCGCTGTCTGTCTTCGCTTCTCTTGTATATTCTGAATAGCTTGTTTCCGCTCACTTGTCCATCTCTCACTGTTCCATTTTTGTTGTTGTGACCAAGTCTTATGGTGCACCGGTAAGCGTGGTTTCCTCCCATACATCAGCTGGAAAGGCGATTTTTTGTTGTCCCCTGTATTGTGGCATGATGTGCCAGTAATACCAACGGTAAGTCAGTTTCCCAGTTGCCTCTTTTCACAGCTAGCCATTCCTTGACTGTTCGATTGTTCCTTTCGGTTAGGCCCTTTGTCTGCGGATGATACGGAGTCGCTCTTATTCTCTTAATACCCAGTGCCTCCAGACGAGTCTTGAACTTCTCACTTTCAAAACAGGGGCCTTGATCTGTCAATATCATTTTTGGTACACCATGATCCGCCAAAATATGTCGAATAACCGCCTCGGTTACGGTCTTGGCGCGCTTATCTGGAATCGCAACAGCATTTACCCACAGCGTGGCGTGTTCCGTCATCATTAAAATGTATTGATTTCCACTCGCTGTTTGAGGGAAAGGACCCATTATGTCCACGAACCATAAGTCACTAACCGCTGTTACGGGTATCGTTTGTAGCTGTGGTCGAATGCACCGATCATCCTTCATCAATTGGCACTGTGGGCAAGCAAGTACGTAGTTCGCAATATCGCCTCTCATGTTTGGCCAGTACGCACTTTGGCTCACTAGGTCATATGTTCGTGCAACTCCTGTATGGGCTAGTTGGTGGCATTCTTGAATGACTTCACGACGAAGGCTGTTTGGTATCACTGTAACCCAGCTACCATCACTGTCTTTCCAAGTTAGGAAGCCGGCAGCGTTTAGTTTGAGTCTATGTTTTTGCTGCAGTAGCATCTTTAACTCTCTATTCTCTGCTGCTATTTCAATTTCTTTCCCTTCACGTATCATCTGAATGACTGTCTTAAGAGTAAGATCCGACTTCTGGTGGCGAACAAGCTGTAAGGGATCTTGCTCCAAAGCGTTTACTGCATACACTACCTCTGGTAGTTCAGTCTCATTATCTGATCTCGACAAATAGTCAGCTATTACATTTTCTTTTCCTGGAATATGTCCTATCGTGAAGTTATACTTTTGTAGGCGTGACATCCATCGTGATAACTTCCCTCGTGGATCCCGTGCTGTTTTCAACCACTGAAGAGGTTTGTGCTCGGTCTTAATGTGGAATCGGAGGCCGATCAGATATGGTCTCCATTTTTCT